GCAGCCTTACAATGTATTAAAAATCAAAACATAATGCCCAATGTTTGTAGAACAACTAAAGTTACATTAATAACTCTAAATTAAGCATATGGGAGTACCTATTTATTTATTAACCGCTCAACAAAGAATAGTCGCTTGTACGCACTCCCTCAAATCGTTTGGAGAAAATATCCTTTCTATTTGATTCAGCTTTGTTCAATTGTATTCTTCATTCTATAAGATCATATAAGATAATGGAATTCTAAGCAACTCTTGCCTGCTAAATGAACTAGTGTAGCCCAAAGCCATTTGGCAAAGCCAGATCAGGACCTAACATAAGGACAACTCAGAGTATGCGATTCTGTTCTTCTGAAATAGACTACATTTTCTTCATAACATGCTTCTTTAGACCTGTCTAAAAGAAATAATGGATGTATTGTGAAGGTGTAGGCTATATTACATGCGTTTATTAGACTTTTTTTATGTAGATGTTCCTAAGGTCTGCATCAGTGGCTTGTAGGCTATGGTTGGAAGCCAGGAGACGCTAAATGTGTTTATGTTAATTGTTAGTCAATTACCGTGAGACCGACAGTTATTTGCTTGACAATCACCGGCTGACGAAATTTTGTGGCTTCCACAGCCCTAGTCTCAAGTCATGCATATTCATATAATTAAAGTATGTACTTTACTTTAAAGCCCCACCCCAGATTGAGAGATATTAAAGGGGAATTCCAACCTTTATTAATAAAATTCATGGTGAGTCGTCAGGCAATCTCTTTGTTGCCTCTACAGCAGTTCATGTTACACTACATGACCAGAAGTATGTGGACACCTGCTTGTCGAACATCTCATTCCAAAATCATGGGCGTTGAAATGGAGTTTGTCCCCCCTTTGCTGCTATAACAGCATCCACTCTTCTGGGAAGGCTTTCCACTAGATGTTGGAACATTGCTGCGGGGACTTGCTTCCATTCAACCACAAGAGCATTAGTGAGGTCGAACACTGATGTTGGGTGATTAGGCCTGGTTCACAGTCAACGTTCCAATTCATCCCAAAGGTGTTTGATGGAGTTGAGGTCAGGGTTCTGTGCAGGCCAGTCAAGTTCTTCCACACCGATCTCATCAAACCACTTCTCTATGAACCTTGCTTTGTGCACAGGGGCATTGTCATGCTGAAACAGGAAAGGACCTTCCCCAAACTGTTGCCACAAAGTTGGAAGCACAGACTCGTCTAGAATGTCATTGTAAGCTGTAGCGTTAAGATTTCCCTTCACTGGTACCAAGGGGCCTAGCCCGAACCATGAAAAACAGCCCCAGACTATTATTCCTCCTCCATCAAACTTTACAGTTGGCACTATGCATTCGTGCAGGTAGCGTTCTCCTGGCATCCACCAAACGCAGATTAGTCCGTCGGACTGCCAGATGGTGAAGCGTGATTCATCACTCCAGAGAACGCGTTTCCACTGCTCCAGAGTCCAATGGCTGCGAGTTTTACACCACTCCAACCAATGCTTGGTATTGCGCATGGTGATCTTAGGCTTGTGTGCGGCTGCTCGGCCATGGAAACCCATTTCATGAAGCTCCCGACAAACAGTTATTGTGCTGACATTGCTTCCAGAGGCAGTTTGGAACTCGGTAGTGAGTGTTGCAATCGAGGACAGACGATTTTTATGCGCTACGTGCTTCAGCACTCGCCGGTCCCGTTCTGTGAGTTTGTGTGGCCTACCACTTCGTGGCTGAGCCGTTGTTGCTCCTAGACATTTCCACTTCACAATAACAGCACTTACAGTTGACTGGGGCAGCAAACTGACTTGTTGGAAAGGTGGCATCCTATGACCGTGCCACGTTGAAAGTCACTGAACTCTTCAGGAAGGCCATTCTACTTCCAATGTTTGTCTATGGAGATTGCATGGCCGTTTGTTCGATTTTATACACCTGTCAGCAACTGGTGTGGCTGAAATAGCCGAATCCACTAATTTGAAGGGGTTTCCACAAACATTTGTATATATACTGTATTTCACTCTGACCTTTATGGTAGTTCCCCCAAACAATTTTGTATATATTGTGAAATTACAGAGATTATTGGTATTATTGGAGTATTGTGAATACAATAGTTGAATTCCATCCACCTGGTTGAAAGGGTCTCCACATGCCTTTGGCTCCTTGCACTGGATGTATCACCCACAAACACCTACCCAAAGGTCATTATAATCAAAGAAGATATGCACCAAGTTATGCATGTGATACTGGCAGTGCACAGAGCTACAGGCATCTGAACTAGAGTAGGAAACATACATTTTGCCAAAATGTGTACCTAGGTCATGATTACTGTTATTTTCAGTAAAACAGTAAATGCATTTCTTATACAGAGGCAATTAGTGTTCCAGCAAAGTACAGCATTAATTAATCTACTGAATAATGGAACTACGGGGGCTATAGCAGCCACTCTAGACCAGGTGAGTGGAATTCAATGTCTGTTTTCATTCTTATCTTCTAGACACAAATATAGAACTTGAAACATGTAATAGGACCATGTATGTACTTTGTATTCCAAGGACCAGGAGTAATACAGGAGTAATAAACCTAGTGTTTCACAGTAGTCCCCTGTAGCTCAGGTGGTAGAGCATGGCGCTTGCAACTCCAGGGTTGTGGGTTCGTTTCCCACGGGGGGCCAGTATGAAAAATGTATGCACTCACTAACTGTAAGTCGCTCTGGATAAGAGTGTTTGCTAAATTACAAAAAAATTTAAAAATAAATGTTACTTGTACAAAAAGGCTTACCTGCTTTCTCCTCTTTCGACCCTTCTTTGCATGTTTCTCCAAAATTGTGTCCCCTATGTTCCCGCCTCACAATCTCGTAATACAGTAGGTGGCACAAGAACCCGCAATGGATATAAGCACAAGGTTCATTTTATGTTGTTTTGGTGGCCAGGACACCGGTGCAGCGCCTACCTATCGTATTTAAAAAGGGCATTAAACATAACTTTGACAGTTTCACTCTTTTTCTCTCCTGTGTAAACACATCCTTGTCTCACTAGATGTGTATGTAGCTATGACACCCTGCATTGTATGGGCAACAACAGTATATCTCATGCACTCTATTTATACAGTGCTAATTGTACAAGCACATTATAGAAGAGGCTTGTGTATTAAATGTATCAAAACCCCATGAACAGATAGCTAACAACAACATAAGCTAGCTAGTAGGGCAAAATGGTAGGCTAGCTAGCACCTACCACTGCGCTAGTTAACATTAGCGGTTAGCAATTAGCATGGGACCATTAGATTTTCATGAAAAGTAAACTTTAAAATACATATAATTTGCATGGTTCATATGTACACATGTAAATACACTTAACTTGAGCTTCCTTTGTAAAAAATTAAATTAAAATAAATTTAAGAGCCAAAATATTTATAACAGAAAGAAAAATAATCTGAGACACAATCTTGTTCTCATTAACTTAGCTACATACAAAGTTAGCTAGCTTAGCTAGCTCACTCGTTTTTCACTCGTACAAAACACTTGATACATCAAATAACCAGAAAACTCATAACAGTTTAGATAAACATGTTATCGCTAGATTTTGAAAACGAAACCATTCTCATAAATGTTACAAACCTGAAAACAGGATAAATATGCAGACAAGGAGAGTTGGCTTCTTTTCACTGGGCTTCTCTTCCACAACGTGACGAAATAGGGATTCACCCGCCTGCAGCCGGTAAACATTTACGTGACGTGCACAGTCCGGACATTTCCAGAAACGTGCTATACCAGACATTCCCGTATCATGCAAGTGTTCGGGGATGCGCGGGGAGTGTGCAGGAATGCATGGGAAATTCCCTCCCATGACCGCGCACCTCAAATTTCATGGGAATATAGCAGATCCTCTGCTTTTCATGTAGTGAGACTGTGTGTGTGTGATACATATTTCAGACAGAATTGACGGTATGTGACCAGTAACAAAATCTGGCAATGTTTACAGTATATGACCCCCTTTCAAACACTCCCATTTTTTCCACTTTCTTGTGGGCATATGTCTTTTATACATCCCCTTGGACAGCCGGCACCGGTGAGGGGTGGGAGAAGTTGTGTGCCGATGTGGGTGGGCGTCTATTTTAATAAATCCATTGGGGCGGCGCACAATTGGCCCAGTGTCGTCCAGGGTAGGGGAGGGAATGGCTGGCAGGGATGTAGCTCAGTTGGTAGAGCATGGTGTTTGCAACGCCAGGGTTGTGGGTTCAATTCCCACGGGGGGCCAGCATAAAAAAATATGTATATATAATGTATGCACTCACTAACTGTAAGTCGCTCTGGATAAAAGCGTCTGCTAAATGACTTAAATGTAAATATACACAAAGCAATCCCGTAGTTTACCAATGTCAAGTGGTTACAGACATCACACTCACTTGAAAATGTGGTGCCACCATTAAACCACCTGCTTCACAAAAATTAATCGATGGCTGATCATCAAGTGATTTCCATTTTTCCAATCGTTGTTTACTCATTTGGATCTCTTCAGTATATCAATGTATCATCACCAGCCAATGTGATCACACCATCGCGTGCGCTCTCTCCTTTCAATCTCCCCACCAGTTATTTTGGCTGAAGACAGATAGCCTACTAGCGATTTGTAGTCTAAGTTAGAAACATATGCATATTAACCCATCATTTATTAGCTAATTATAAGGTTCCTTTAAATATTTACCTGTCAAAGTACAAGGAAAAAAGATGAAGTGGCAGATGCACTCTGTGTGCTCCCCCAGGCTAAATGCCAATGCATTTCTGTGACAATAGACAAGAACAGCTTAAGGACAGAACTACATGCATTTACATGGAGAGAATAAATGCATTAAAAGCATTTCTGTGAAGCCTTGTGAATGTGCCGGCTTTGTTACTGGCTTCACCTTTCAGATATAAAGAAAAGGTGGTATAAAGAAGACGGCACGGTAAAGTTGGCACGTTTTTGTCTTGGTATAAAAGGGATATGATATTGTTTGCATGCCTGATAAGGGGACAGCACAATGGATTTCTCATCATTGCTCTTCTTTCAGAGCTCCTCCAATGGCGTGAGACTTGGGACGCCCAACAGAGCCACCATCACCATCCTGTCCAATGACAATGCCTTCGGAATCATCTCCTTCAACTCCGTAAGAAACATCTATCTGTCTAGTGTTGATTCTTGCTTATAGCCTACATTCCATTTCAACCAGTTCCGTTTTAACCTTCAATGAATGTAAAGGGAATCCCAGGTACTGACCATTGGGAATATAAGGTTTTATTTTAGTTTAAATCTGTCTCACTCTGCCGTCTTGTTTATTATTATACAGGGAGAATTTTACAAGAGAGCAAGTAGGGAGTATAATTTGGCTACCTACTACAGTACGTACCATGCTAGATTGAGAGGGAAGGCTTTAGTCACAGTCAGGATAAGGAAATTAGGCTTTGGCCAGGGGTGGGGTGGGGCCAGGGGTGGGGTGGGGCAAGGGGTGGGGTTCAAATGCCACAGAGGGGATCCATGCAGATGGTTGTGCAGGAGGATTCTGGGGTTGCCAGGGGCAGCACAACCACAACAGCTGCAGTTTGCTCCTAGGATTAACTTGTCAGTGGGAGTTTTGAGGGTTACTATGGTAACCATAGTATTGGGTCCTGCCTGCACCCCCCTTAGGGTCTTATTCGGGATCATTATTTTGCTTCTTGGAAATCAAAGAAGTCTCTCTGCCTCCGGAATTATGATTCTGAAACATGTTTTATTTTTGTTTAGTTTTAGAGTCAATATGCTCATAATGTGGTCTATGAAGGTTGTAGTCTTGTGGAGAGGAACTAATTCATTTCATAATCACTAAAGACAATGTTAATTCTCTCTCTCTCTATATATATATATGTATATTTATATATATATATATATATATTAATAAATATATGTATATATATTTATATATATATATATATAATATATATATATTATATATATATATGTATATATATGTATATCTATATATATATATATATATATAGATATAATAGATATACGCTATTGTATCTCTAGCCTAATGATAGATATATAACTGATATATAGTAATATATATATAGAGATAGAGGATATATATATATGATTTGATATATGATTAGATATATATATAGATCGTATATATTATAATATATATGATATATATCAATAGATAGATATTATATATATCGAGTATCTATATAGAAATATAGTATAGATATATATGTCAATATTACTATAGAGAATAGACTATCATTATCTTTATAGAGTATCTCTATATCTCACTCTCTATATCTATATTATATCTATATCTCTATCTCTCTCCTACTATATCTCTCTCTATCTATCTGTTCTCTCTCATCTATCTCTCTTCTCTCTCTCTCTTCTCTCTCGATCTCTTGTCCTCTCTTCTTCTCTATCTCTCTCTCTTCTGTCTCTCTCTGTCTCTCTCTCTCTCTCTCTCTCTCTCTCTCTCTCTTCTCCTATCTGATCTCTCTCTCTCTCTCTCTCTCTCTCTCTCTCTCTCTCTCTCTTGTCTCTCCTCCAGACTGAACAGATCATTGTGGATGAGCCTAGAGGGAGGAACCAGTATGTGCCTCTCAGCCTGGTCAGAGAGAAGGGGACATATGGGACAGTGACGGTCAACTTTGAGGTGAGGTCACTGTAACAGTAACTGACCCCTGTTTGACCTCCCTGTGGTTAGGTCACGTCAGATCATTAGGCCGGTTGCATTTTAGTATGGATGTCCATCTGTCACCCGGTCTACTTATGCCAGCCACACACACACACACATGCACTGATGCATAGCACACACACGCACACACGCACATGCACACGCGCACACACACATGCAGATACTCACTTTTCAGATAAACGTATTCCTGTCATTCTGATGACTATATGTGAGCAATATGTTGTGGTTTTTACATGGGCAGATCTCTGGAGGCCCTAACCCTGCCCTGGAGGACCTCAGTCCAGACCGGGGGAACATCACCATTCCACCTGGACAGGCTTTGGTGGTCTTCAGCATCCTCATCCAGGATGACCAGGTACCCAGTCCTCTCCACCCCTTCTACATGCTATCACTTACACCTTTTACCAGACAGCTTCACATCAAACACATGGATCATCTGAAGCATTCTTTTGCAGGCTAAGTAAACCCAGAGTTACATATCAGTAAACCATTGAGATAACACTACAGTTGAAGTTGGAAGTTTACATACACTTAGGTTGGAGTAATTAAAACTCGTTTTTCAACCACTCCACACATTTCTTGTTAACAAACTATAGTTTTGGCAAGTCGGTTAGGACATCTACTTTGTGCATGATACAAGTAATTTTTCCAACAATTGTTTATAGACAGATTATTTCACATATAATTCCCTGTATCACAATTCCAGTGGGTCAGAAGTTTACATACACTAAGTTGACTGTGCCTTTAAATTGCTTAGAAAATTCCAGAAAATGATGTCATGGCTTTAGAAGCTTCTGATAGGCTAATTGACATAATTTGAGTCAATTGGAGGTGTACCTGTGGATGTATTTCAAGGCCTACCTTCAAACTCAGTGCCTCTTTGCTTGACATCATGGGAAAATACCAAGACCCCAGCCAAGACCTCAGAAAAACAATTGTAGACCTCCACAAGTCTGGTTCATCCTTGGGAGCAATTTCCAAACGCCTGAAGGTACCACGTTCATCTGTACAAACAATAGTACGCAAGTATAAACACCATGGGACCACGCAGCCGTCATACCGCTCAGGAAGGAGACGCGTTCTGTCTCCTAGAGATGAATGTACTTTGGTGCGAAAAGTGCAAATAAATCCCAGAACAACAGCAAAGGACCTTGTGAAGATGCTGGAGGAAACAGGTACAAAATTATCTATATCCACAGTAAAACGAGTCCTATATCGACATAACCTGAAACGCTGCTCAGCAACGAAGAAGCCACTGCTCCAAAACCGCCATAAAAAAAGCCAGACTATGGTTTGCAACTGCACATGGGGACAAAGATCGTACTTTTTGGAGAAATGTCCTCTGGTCTGATGAAACAAAAATAGAACTGTTTGGCCATAATGACCATCGTTATGTTTGGAGGAAAAAGGGGATGACTTGCAAGCCGAAGAACACCATCCCAACCGTGAAGCACGTGTGTGGCAGCATCATGCTGTGGGGGTGCTTTGCTGCAGGAGGGACTGGTGCACTTCACAAAATAGATGGCATCATGAGGAAGGAAAATTATGTGGATATATTGAAACAACATCTCAAGACATCAGTCAGGGAGTTAAAGCTTGGTCGCAAATGGGTCTTCCAAATGGACAATGACCCCAAGCATACTTCCAAAGTTGTGGCAAAATGGCTTAAGGACAACAAAGTCAAGGTATTGGAGTGGCCATCACAAAGCCCTGACCTCAATCCTAAAGAAAATGTGTGGGCAGAACTGAAAAAGCGTGTGCGAGCAAGGAGGCCTACAAACCTGACTCAGTTACAATGCTACCAAATACTAATTGAGTGTATGTAAACTTCCGACTTCAACTGTATATATTCCCATATTATATACCTAATGTATCAAATAATCATATGCACTGCTGCTACTCTATTTGTCATATATCCTGATGCTGAGTCACCTTACCCCTATACATATTAAAAAACAAAACTATGTTTTAAGTGAGAATAGGCATTGGTCTGAAGCTGAAAAATAAAGGAAATTCACATGAGCACCACAATACCTATACCACCCATGCTCTACCAAGGTTTTCCAGCACACAGCTTTGACCCACTACAGTAGCTATGTTGGTATTATACTTCAAACTATGTGTAGGCAGGTTTCTTAGGATTCAAACCTTTTCAAACAGCCTCATTCATACTCTTAGAGGAGGTGCTTTCACAATAATGTGATTTGTACCGCATACAAAGTTAAGTATTGGATTCTTCATACACCACAGTAAGACATTATCCCATTCCACTACCTTTTCATGCTTTTGCTTTTATACTTACAGCTTTTATTTTATACTTACAAGACCATTAGGCATGATTGAACTGTTTTGTCTTGTAATAATGTGGTGCATACCTTTATTTTAGCAAAACATGTCATGAACAAAAAAAATTATAACATCCTTTTTTGGTCAGTAGGTGCCCAACATAACAACAGGTTGTGGTGTGTTGGACAAAGATAGAGCCTGTCTGCATTCCTGATTTCTGTAACTGTTAGCTTACCTGTGTAATATTGACAGAAGCTCAGAACTACTTGTGTTTCAAACATGGTCCTGTTTTATCAATTGCTGTGCTGATCAATGGACAGTTCGTTACCTCTGTCAAAATAATGTGTAGCTTAAAGTAATTTTAATAGCAGGGTTCTGTAAAGTCCATTATCCCTCTGAAGAGTATGAATTAGGCTGTTTGAGAAGGTTTGAATCCTAAGCAACCTGCCTACACATAGTTTGAAGTACAATACCAACATATCTACTGTAGTAGGTCAAAGCTGTGTGCTGCAAAAGCTTGGTAGAGCATGGGTGGAATAGGCATCGTGGTGCTCATGTGAATGTCCTTTATTTTTTCAATGGTTTTTACACCGGATGGTGATTATGGAACATTATTATACAACTATAATACAGCATGAAACATGCTCTCCTGTTGTGCGTTTAATAGATTTAATTTATTGATGAGATCCCAGCTCATAACCCTACTGATCAATGCTCAAAGCAAATTGGCAAGAGCAAGGTAACAAAGATTGAAGCAAATATTTACTATGCGATTACAAAATGTAGCTGGCTAGATGACTACAGGAGCGTGAAATATGGATGAGCTGTTCTCAATGGAAGGGTTCTGACTAATTCTCTCTTGACAAGGCGTGACCGCGAAAATATCATATTCATCCACCTTGGTGGAAACGACTTGGGACAAACAAAGGGGACAGCCCTGGTCCGTCAGATGCGAGCTGATTTTGGAGGTAGTCATCGGAATGTTCCCCAGGACAACAGTGGTCTACTCTGACATCACGGAGTGGAGGAGTTGGATGTTCCAGTGGGAGGAGGACTTAACAAGCGCTTAGAGATGGTCCATCGCTCTGTCAACCAGCTGGTCCACAATCTGCCACTTTTCCATAAATCACTGTATCACAGGGCAGTACCATAGGCAAGGTTTCCCAAACTCAGTCCTGGGGCTCCCCATGGGTGCACGTTTTGGTTTTTGCCCTAGCACTACACAGCTGATTAAAATAATCAAAGTTTGATGATGAGTTGGTTATTTGAATCAGCTGTGTAGTGCCAGGGCAAAAAACAAAACATACACCCAATGGGGGCACCAGGACCGAGTTTGGGAAACCCTGCCGTAGGGATGGCGTGTATCTCAAGGATTAGGGCAACGATCTCTTCCTTGAGAGTCTGAGAGCTGGTCTCTCCTCCGTTCTAGAAAGTCGCACGCAGTAGTACACACCACCACACTCACCGCCATTTGCCTGCCCACGAACCCAAAGCCACCTAATAAAATAAAATAAGTGTTACGGGAGGGGGCTGTCAAAACTGTAAACTAAAGAATGGTCAAAATATGTCCACCGGGACGCGAACGCACAATGTTCTGATCCACAAGCATCAACTCTAACCATTACACTATGAATCCTGTTCTAAACACATTGACTTCGATAGACCATTTAAATGTCTACAATCGTTCGTTCCAAAATAATTTTGTTAATTCACTGAGTAGTGACTACACGTTTATTTATCTTGCTTGGTTAAAATACAATAGTCTAAAACAGTTGATTTGTTGAAAACAGACTCATTTATTCACGTAGTTAACAAGCATTTCCTTTTCTTTTGACTGCAACCTGATCTCATAGCATTTTGTATTATTCTGTACGTGAATTCGAGACAATCAATTTAGTATGATATGTAACGTTTCGTATGGTATGTATTAATTTATGGTTGTCCATCATTCATTTCGCATGATATATTATGAATTACAATTCGTATAATATGTTATGAATTGCAATACGTATAATATGTTATGAATAGCAATTTGTACGATATGTTATGAATTTTCAAAAGTATGATATGTTACGAATTCCCATTTGTATATATTGGCTAACGTTAGCTAGGTGGCTAATGTTATCTAGGCTAGGGGTTAGGGTTAAGGTTAGGAGTGAGGTTAAAGGGTTAAGGTTAGGGTTAAGGTTAGGAGTTATGTTAAAGATTAAGGTTAGGGTTAGGGTTAGGGGAAGGGTTAGCTATCCTTCCACCCCGAACAGCCACCCTCGTTTTTGCCATAAAGTAGAATTTTCCTATTTCTGAAGTAAATCCCTATTTTGAATGTAAATGGCATGTTATATATTGAATGGGCCACAGACTTTTTTTTGTGATTTCTTTTTTTTAAATAAACTTACCCCAGCCGTGATTCACTTCCTCATTGCTCGTTGTGCAGTATCAGGGAACACAAAATACATGAACAAGCTCCAAAAACACCCAAATATGTCCTTTTAGAAATGGACACGCTCTCAGTATAGTGATGTAGGTCTTTAATCAAATCAAATCAAATTTTATTGGTCACATACACATATTTAGCAGATGTTATTGCGGGTGTAGCGAAATGCTTGTGTTCCTAGCTCCAACAGTGCAGTAGTATCTAACAATTCACAACAATACACACAAATTTAAAAGTGAAAGAATGTAATTAAGAAATATATAAATATTTGGACGAGCAATGTCGAAGTGTCATTAACTAAAATACAGTAGAACAGAATACACTATATACATGAGTACATGAGTAAAGCAGTATGTAAACATTATTAAAGTGACTAGTGTTCCATTATTAAAGTGACCAGTGATTCCATGTCTATGTATATAGGGCAGCATTCTCTAAGGTGCAGGGTTGAGTAACCGGGTGGTAGCCAGCTAGTGATGATTATTTAACAGTCTGATGGCCTTGAGATAGAAGCTGTTTTTCAGTCTCTCGGTCCCAGCTTTGATGCACCTGTACTGACCTTGCCTCCTGGATGGTAGCGGGGCGAACAGGCCGTGGCTCGGGTGGTTGATGTCCAGACCGCACCAACCTCTGGAGAGCCCTGCGGTTGCGGGCGGTGCAGTTGCCGTACCAGGCGGTGATACAGCCCGACAGGATGCTCTCAATTGTGCATCTATAAAAAAAAAGTTTGTGATGGTCTTAGGGGCCAAGCCAAATTTCTGTCCCTCAACACCCTCTACAAATGATTTATCTGTATATTCAACAGAAATGGTTGCGATAATTGTTGAATTGCAATGGATAGAGGAGGTGCAACCAAGACAAGTAGTAATATGTTCAAACTCTGCATCGGTTTTGTGTAGTTTAAGATCAGGAAAGTCAGAATGTGAGGATTTATGGTTAGAAATAATTATGCTGTTGTTGGCTTACAAATAAATTGTGTTGAAATTCTGTTCTGTTGGATTCCGGCTCATACAGGAGTTTATGGAAATTATATAGTAGATATATAAGCAAAAACACCTGTGAAAAATTATATTGTGGATATACAGGTGCAGTTGGGTAGATTAAAACATTGATTCGGAAAAAGGGGGTAGATTGCAGGCAGAGACAATGGGATACAAGTAGTACCAAATCAAATCAAATCAAATTGTATTTGTCACATGCGCCTAATACAACAGGTGTAGACCTTACAGTGAAATGCTTACTTACAAGCCCTTACCCAACAATGCAGTTTTAAGAAAGAATACCCCAAAAAATCACTCAAAAATAAAAAAAAATTAATAATACGAAATAAAAGTAACAAATAATTAAATAGCAGCAGTAAAAATAACAATAGCGAGGCTATATACAGGGGGTACTGGTACCGAGTCAATGTGTGGGGGCACCGGTTAGTTGAGGTAATTGGGGTAATATGTACATGTAGGTAGAGTTATTAAAGTACCATGTTGTGCTGCTGCCATGTTGTGTTGCTACCGTGTTGTTGTCATGTTGTGTTGCTACCATGCTGTGTTGTCATGTGTTGCTGCCATGCTGTGTTGTTGTCTTAGCTTTATGTAGTGTTGTGGTGTCTCTCTTATCGTGATGTGTGTTTTTTCCTACATTTTTATTTTTAATCCCAGTCCCCGTCCCCGCAGGAGGCCTTTTGCCTTCTGGTAGGCCGTCATTGTAAATAATAATTTGTTCTTAACTGACTTGCCTAGTTAAATAAAGGTTAAATAAAATAAAAAATATTAAGGGCAGACATTCTTATAGGACAAGAAAATCTTTAAGGGAGATAGTGTCATGTAATGGAAACACAAGGGAAGTTATGTTGTGTAGAATGAGATCAGGGCATACGGGATTGAATTCCTCTTTGAAATTGATAGGGAAACATGGTACTGGAATGTGTAATGGATGTATGGTAGAGGAAATGGTTGAACATGTATTATTATTTTGTGAAATGCATGATGGTAAAACATCACTAAACCGTTGTTACTGTCATTTCCCTCAGATCCCTGAGGATGACGAGGTGTTCACAGTCAGGCTGACGGGCGTGGCGGGCGGGGCGGTCCTCAACCCCAATGGCAGCAGCGTGGAGCTGAAGATCCGCCGGAACGACAGCCCTCTGCGCTTCTCCCAGTCCCAGGTGGCCGTTGCCGAGACCGCCGGGGTCATCTCCCTGATCGTGACCCGCGGCCTCCTGGCTGACCACGGCCGCCTGGTGGGCTCAGACGACACGGAGATCTCCGTGGACTACGTGGTCGTCAGCGGCGACGGGGCAGGCAGCGCCACTCCAGCGGTGGATTTCGTGGACCTGCAGGCGGTACGAACGGTGACATTTCCCCCATGGGTCTATGAGGCACGTCTGCTCTTCAACATCAGCGATGACGAGGTGCCGGAGATTGCCGAGTCGTTCCACGTGGTTCTGCTGGAGGAGACGGTGAGAGGAGACGCAGTGCTGATCCAGCCCAATACCGTGCTGGTCACCATCGAGCCCAATGATAAGCCCCACGGGGTCCTGTCTATCAGTGGCAGCCAACTCACTCAGCTAATCAGTATCAACGAGGATAAGACTGACAGGTTGGTCAAACTACAGTTAGGAGGAGAATGTTATTGGATCAGTGTGTCATCTTATAACATTATAGTTTCCAAACACATTGAACCTCAACTGTTTCTGTGTCTCTGCTATTCTCACATCCCCACCCTCTCTTGTCCAAAAGATTTGACGGTATCTCCATCGTGAGGAACGGCGGTAACTATGGTGACATCTCTGTCAACTGGACCATCAGTCGGAACTCCAGCGACCGCTCGCCCGTGTCAGATGACCTGAGCCCCGAGGCGGGCACACTGTGGTTGACGGCGGGTCAGATGAGCGCGGTCTTGCCCTTGAACATCACAGCTGATGAGCTTCCAGAGGAAGCAGAGGCCTTCATCCTCCGACTGCTGCCGGATACTGTGCAGGGAGGGGCCGAAGTGGACGAGCCTATGGAGGTCAGTCTGGCCTGGCTACTCACACTTCAACTAGGATATGATTGGTTAGGATTCCACTGCTGTTAATTGATTGATTGATTGATTGATTGGTTGATTGGTCCAACAGTACCAATCTATATTTTAAGTTTCAGTTCTAATAATAGAGTCTGACGATTTGTTTTGTATTCAGACGTAGGGTTTTCTGGTATTTAAACCAGATTTTATGTTCAGTTCTGTCATTTTGTTGATGCTGTTGGTTTTGAGGAGCTCTGTGTTGGCTGTTGTTTATTTGCAATACCAAATTCAAGCTGGGGAAGACAGAAAGTTGAATCAGGACAGTCAGAAAGTTGCTTGTCAACCCTGGTAGCTTAGTGCCATGTCTAGCATTGGGCAGCGCCTGACAGAGAGGGAGGGAGGGAGGGAGGGAGGGAGAGAGGGAGGGAGAGAGCAGGTCTACTACCCACGCCCTCCTGAGGAGGTTTGCGGGGGAGGGCTACACTTGTGGGGGACACATCTGGAGAGCAGTCCCCTCCTCTCTAGAGGATGTGGTCGTGTGTGTGTGTGTGTGTGTGTGTGTGTGTGTGTGTGTGTGTGTGTGTGTGTTTGTGTGTGTGTGTGTGTGGGGGGGTGGCTGGAGGTGGGTGGGTGGGTGGCTGGAGACTTGGCACACACCCTGGTCCTGTACAGTAGACCCTGCTAATACTGTCACTTCACACTGGGTGTTCCCTTAATGTGGTTGAAATAATCTAAACAAAGACAAAACAACTGTGGGGGGTATGCCTGTGTGTGTGTGTGTGTTTTTGGTTTTACTATACTTGTGGGGACCAGAAGTCCTCACAAGGATAGTAAATCAAGGAAAATTCGAACAAATGGGGACATTTCACCAGTCCCCACAAGGAAAAAGGCTATTTTGGGTTTAGGGGTTAGGTTTAGGGTTAGGGTTACTATAAGGGTTAGGTTTAGGATTAGGATTTAGGGTTAGGGTTACTGTAAGGGTTAGGTTTAGGATTAGGATTTAGGGTTAGGGTTACTGTAAGGGTTAGGTTTAGGATTAGGGTTTGGGGTTAGGGTTAAGGGTTAGGGTTAGGTGTTAGGGAAAATAGGATTTTGTTTGGTCCCCACAATGATAGTAAAACAAATGTGTGTGTGTGTGTATGAGTGGGTGTGGCAGTGTGATGTCTTTATTACTGCCATCTTTGTCACAGCTTCCCATGTTGGCTATGTGTGAAAGGAGTGGGTAGATCTAACCCTTGTTTATGTTAATGCATTAGAACACACACACACGCACACACACAGTGGTTGGACTCTCAACATGTGGTATCTGCTGTCCATGTGTGTATAAGCAGTTGACTAAGCACTGATTGTAAGCATTAGAAGACAACTCTTGTAGTTGAATAAGTTCATCAATGTATGTGTCAAGAGAATACAAATGATTTAACACACACTCCAAATGCTGCAAGCCTGCAACACTTGGAACCTGTCAGACAGCCATGAGTCCTTGTCAAACATCTACAGTAAGCCCTAGTAAAAAAGCTCATGAAAGCTATTCTAGCCCATTTAATTAAAGAGGATGCATCTCTAAAATTAGCCCAGGGCTCTTTCTTTATGACACAGAGTCTGGTGCTTTCTCCTCCTTCCCCCCCCCCCCCTTTTCCTTCCTCTCCCTCCCTCCTTCCACAGATGATGTTCTACATCCAGGACAGTGATGACGTGTACGGCCTGTTCCGCTTCCACCCGGAGGAGAACCAGACCATCCAAAGTCAGCCCGATGGACGCTTCCTGTCCCTTAGCTTTCTGCGGGAGGGGGGCACCCTGGGGGAGGTAGCCCTGGCCGTCCACACCCTCTACATCCCCGCGGGGCCCGTGAACCCCGGGCTGGCCCGGGACGGGGTGCTGAACGGCAGCCGCTCTACTACTGTGCTGTTCTCTCAGGGCCAGGACCTGGCCAGACTCACCCTGCCCATCCGCAACGATGCCTTCCTGCAGAACGGAGCCCACTTCCTCATCCAGGTGGGGCCAGAGGTCTCGGACGGCAACACCTTTGGGTCAAATACTGACCCAGTCATAGAAGTACTGTCACAGGGAGTGGGACACAGAATTCATACAGGGGAGGTTTTATGTCCATTTTGTTTGAATTAGTGCGAAGACTTTAACATAGCTCACCTGTGCTACTGTATGCAAATGTTTTTAGAAAGTGGTGAGCCACTCCAGCTTTGGAAAATGTTGGTTGGTTCTTAGTTTTTTCAAGCTTGTCCAGAGACATGGTTCCTCATTTGCATGTGTGAGAGACTTGGACCTGAGAACTGTGCTCTGGCCTGTTGCCATGGGATCTGTCCAAGCATCCAAACAAACAGCCCTCATCAGGCAGCGCTTAAAAACAAAGTACCTCCTTCACATTCAATAGGTCCCAAACTGCTCCCTCACACACATGCGAAAACACACACCCCAAAGAAGAGGTAGATTAACAGTGCTGAGAGGTCTTTGGAGATAGGTCATTCATAGTGTAGTGAGAGAGTAAAGTTAAGAGAGTGGTTTAATTGGAATCATGGAGGGGTAAAGAGGTACAGTACTGCACAATAGAACACTAATGCCTGAGAGAAAACTGCCACATTGCATGAACGCTTAACATTCTGTTCCTTCCCTGATTAACTAACTCCACAATACCTGAATGAAGCCCACACCTCTACTTATACAGTATACCACTCATATGAGAGTAATGTATTTCTTTTCTTTTTTTAAGACATTTTTAAAGGGTTTCATTTTCCATTTGGCTAACACAACAAATAATGCGGCCTACTGGTATTCAGGTCATGTATTTGAAGATGGCTATAGGGGATTTGTGCTTAATAATCATTGCTGTCTCTCTTTCAGCTGGATAGTGTGGACCTGATCAGTATCAGCCCTCCCATCCCATCTGTGAGTCCTCACTTCGGAGGGGCGCTCAACCTCACCCTCACAGTCACCCCCGAAATCGCCAATGGGGAGATCGGCTTCACCAGTAACACCACGGTGGTGGTGTATGAGCCAGAGGACACCAACACTAGCACGGTACAATGCTAACCCTCTGTCTGCATCAATGGCACACATGTTTGCATGGTACGGTACTATGCTAACCCTCTGTCTGCATCAATTGCATACATGTTAGCATGGTACGCTATTACGCTAACCCTCTGTCTCTATCAATGGCACACATGTTAGCACAGTACACTAACCCTCTGTCTGCTCAATGGCACACCTGTGTAGTGTACCGTGACTCTGTTTTGATCTGGCTGTAGATACTGTATGTGTGGTGATGTTACTCTGATGTTACAATGATGACTTTACCGCAATGAAATGTATTTTTTAATCGTAATTACTGCAGTTGAATGATCACTACAGTACAGTGGCTTGCGAAAGGATTCACCCCCCTTGGCATTTTTCCTATTTTGTTGCCTTACAACCTGAATTAATGATTTTTGGGGGGTTTGTATCATTTGATTTACACAACATGCCTACCACTTTGAAGATGCAACATCTTTTTTATTGTGAAACAAACAAGAAATAAGACAAAAAAACAGAACTTGAGCGTGCATAACTATTCACCCTCATACTTTGTAGAGCCACCTTTTGCAGCAATTACAGCTGCAAGTCTCTTGGGGTATGTCTCTATAAGCTTGGCACATCTAGCCACTTGGATTTTTGCCCATTCTTCAAGGCAAAACTGCTCCAGCTCCTTCAAGTTGGATGGGTTCCGCTGGTGTACAGCAATCTTTAAGTCATACCACAGATTCTCAATTGGATTGAGGTCTGGGCTTTGACTAGGCCATTCCAAGACATTTAAATGTTTCCCCTTAAACCACTGGAGTGTTGCTTTAGCAGTATGCTTAGGGTCATTGTCCTGCTGGAAGGTGAACCTCCGTCCCAGTCTCAAATCTCTGGAAGACTGAAACAGGTTTCCCTCAAGAATTTACCTGTATTTAGCGCCATCCATCATTCCTTCAATTCTGACCAGTTTCCCAGTCCCCACAGCATGATGCTGCCACCACCATACTTCACTGTGGGGATGGTGTTCTCTGGGTGATGAGAGGTGTTGGGTTAGCGACAGACATAGCGTTTTCCTTGATGGCCAAAAAGCTCAATTTCAGTCTCATCTGACCAGAGTACCTTCTTCCATATGTTTGGGGAGTCTCCCACATGCCTTTTGGCGAACACCAAACGTGTTTGCTTATTTTATTATTTTCTGGCCACTCTTCCATAAAGCCCAGCTCTGTGGAGTGTACAACTTAAAGTGGTCCTATGGACAGATACTCCAATCTCCGCTGTGGAGCTTTGCAGCTCCTTCAGGGTTATCTTTGGTCTCTTTTTGCCTCTTTGATTAATGCCCTCCTTGCCTGGTCCGTGAGTTTTGGTGGGCGGCCCTCTCTTGGCAGGTTTGTTGTGGTGCCATATTCTTTCCATTTTTAAATAATGGATTTAATGGTGCTCTGTGGGATGTTCAAAGTTTCGGAGATTTTTTTATAACCCAACCCTGATCTGTACTTCTCCACAACTTTGTCCCTGACCTGTTTGGAGAGCTCCTTGGTCTTGATGGTGCCACTTGCTTGGTGGTGCCCCTTGCTTAGTGGTGTTGCAGACTCTGGGGCCTTTCAGAACAGGTGTATATATACTGAGATAATGTGACAGATCATGTGACACTTAGATTACACACAGGTTAACTTTATTTAACTAATTATGTGACTTCTGAAGGTAATTGGTTGCACCAGATCTTATTTATTTATTTTGTAGCATTCACTTCACCAATTTGGACTATTTTGTGTATGTCCATTACATGAAATCCAAATAAAAATCTATTTAAATTACAGGTTGTAAATTACAGGTTGTGTGTAATGCAACAAAATAGGAAAAAAACGCCAAGGGGGATGAATACTTTTGCAAGGCATTGTATGTTTGAACAGCAATTTGCAGGTCTTGTTTCATGTAAGGTAGCTACAGTGCTTATAATGGAAAGGCATCTTATCCTACGAGTCAGTTTGTTCAAATGTCTAATATGACTGCAGATGGTTGAGGGTTAAGGAATTCTTCCTCCTCCCACAGGTGACCCTCAGCCTGCGGCGGGACGGGACAGACGGACAGGCCGTGGTGTTCTGGAGCCTTCGACCAATCGGAGACAACCAGGCTGACGTCACCACTGACGACCTGAAAACTCTGAGTGGCTCAGTGGTGTTCCTGACGGGACAGAGCGACGCCGTCATCAACGTCACCGTCATGGCCGATGACATACCCGAGGTCAACGAGACCCTTTTCCTCACTCTGGACAGGTACTGGACAGCAACTCTGGGGAGCTTTTGGTTGGCCAACAGATTCTTATTCTGTTAATCAGTAGCAATGTAACTTTATAAATAAGTGTCTGATTATGCTCTGTTGCGGTACCACACGCCATTGCCATATGTCCTGGGATTTGAATCGGTAGCGTACTGGCCACTTGTTCATTTACTTAACAACAATGCCTGGCTGTGCTTAAAATGATTAAAACAATTAAATAGTGTATTTTTTAAGAATTGCTAAAATGAGCAGTGAGACCAGGGTGTCATAAGGACAGCCCCTCCCTTACCCCTACTCCTACCCCTACCCCTACTCCAATTCCTGCCTGTCATCTGTTACCCATGACCTGTGACGGGAACCTTGGCTCTCCCTCCCTCCCACCCCTCTCCTGCAGGGTGGAGACTCCGCGCTTTGTAGTGTACTTCGGGTAAGTGGAGAGTGGAGTGAGCCTGGACTCTTTGTGTGCTTTAAATCAGGACTTTGTCTGGGGAAAAAGGGACCACTTTAGGATTTCTGGGGCCTTTGGTTTGATGGGAAAGGGGGGTTGTTGTGGTGGTTTTGTGGGGTTGTGCATTGGGAAGAGAGGAGCGTGGGTGTGGGAAGTAAGAAGGGATCTTCTTTGTGTTGCACCTAATTTTAACCATTCTTTATGCCCTCCTGTAAAGACATCAGTGTTTGTATGCATGCTGCGAGTTGGATTCAAGTGTTTGTTTGGTATGCTTTGCTCTGTCCTCCCTCTGCTTTTCATTTACCCCTTATGTGGCCACACTCGCACACATGTACACACACACAGACACACACACACACACACACACACACACACACACACACACAGACACACACACACACATACACCCTGCTCATCAGGGGCCAGGCTGACAGAACACACAGGCCCCCTCTGCTGTGAGAGAGAGAGGCTCAGGGGGCCACTGAGTGACACGGTTAATCAGAGCAGCTCAAACAACAGGCCTCTGGTCAATACTGAACATGAGACAATACAAGGAATTTACTCATTCACTGTTTTTAAATGAAGGGTAAGTTGATGAAAATACTTGAATGTTGCTGAAAGCTTTGAAGTGCATCTCCTTGTTGTTTTACATGCTGGCTGTTTTAACATTCCCCCACAACACACGACCCACATTCCCACCGAGATAAAGGCCTGTGAGTTCCTTTTTGGTGTAGCCGCTGAGTTCCCCTCTGTGTTGCAGGGTTAACGTTGAGAACCAGATCCTGAAGCCTGGCTTCACCAGTCGAGAGATAGTCATTGTGGAGAATGACGACCCAGGTGGAGTCTTTGAGTTCTCCCCCTTCTCCAGAGGACCCTGGTACATCAACGTACGTCTGGCAAACAGACAGGCATCATGAATGTTGATGCGCATCTGTTTCATCTACTGTGATGCATGTTGAATATTGACCAACCAGGTCATTTTTGCAAACTACCATGTGTTCTAACCTACATCAATAACAGCAACACTTCTGACCCCTAGTTTGTCCCCTTTGGTTTGCCCTGTGACCTTTCCTTTATAGGAAGGTGAGGCAGTGGAGCTGCGTGTCATCAGGGCCCAGGGGCAGCTGCTCAAACAGCTGGTGCGGTATGTCCTCATGCCCTCGGGCAACGCCGAGTTCTACGGCGCCACGGGCATCCTGGAGTTTAAGCCCGGGGAGAGGGAGGTGCTGGTGGCACTGGTGGCACGGCCTGACGGGGTCCCTGAGGTACAGCAACACTACTGTCCCTTTATAACATCATGTATGTATGGCATGGACACTCCTTCCTGACTGTGAGGGTGTCACTGGTCCTACAGTTTCCAGTTTTAAATGCCTTTGAAATTCAAAATCTGTTTGCTGGTTGCACAGATTACAGTGTGACAGTCCTGTTAAAGTGCCCTTGTGTGTGTGTCTGTGTGTAGCTGGATGAGACGTTCTCGATGGTACTCAGCAGCTACAGCAATCCACCCAGTCGCCTTGGCAACCACCGAGAGGTCAACATCACGGTGCGGAAGAATGACGATCCCTTTGGGGTCATAGAGTTTGCCCGGTCTGGAGTGGTAGAGGCCATCAACGAGAGCAAAGGCTCCGAGTCTCACTCAGGTACAATGGAGCAGTGGAGGAACAGTGTCTAAAAACTAGACAATACTTTAAGACAATATAGTATAAAGAAAAAATATAACAGGAAAACATTTGTGATCATATTTTAAGTCATTTTAATTCTTTAGAAGATGAGATTCAGTAGAGAGATGATAGAGAAACGAATAGGATTGAGTGTATTATATTGTAAATAGTGTGTTCTGTTGTGGGTTTCCTTGGCAGTGGCCTATCCCGTGGTGAGGAACAGGGGTCGCTTTGGGGAGGTGTCTGTGTCCTGGGTCCTAGAGCCCCACCTGTCTGCTGACGTCAGCCCCGTACAGGGATCCGTTGTGTTTGCTGAGGGGGAGTATGTGAAAAACCTCACCCTCTTCTCTGTACCTGATGAGGTAAAGCCATCTCTCAAACGCTACAATATTTGACCAACAACCACAATCAGGGCTCCTTGACATAATGTGTATAATATCTATGTCAATAAAATGGAATGGTTTAGATGGTATCTGCCATCTTTTCTACACAATACTGCATCTTTACCTGACAATGTCTTGTTTGCTACATTAGCTCCCAGAGGACATGGAGAATTTCACCATCACACTCCTGAACGCGACGGGGGGAGCAAGGCTTGGGAACATACTCAACGCAAGCTTGCAGATAAACAAAAACGATGACCCGATTTACTTTGCAGGTAAGGATGTCTTTGATTTGCTCCCTAGTACTGTATGGAAAGCATTGGGAGTCTTTTCAAGCGCTGCTGTGTGTTAGCAGACATAGAGTGGATATATCAAGTGACATAGTGTTTATGTCAAGTGGCATGGTGGTTATGTCAGTTGAAATAGGATGACGTAATACTCTGCCTCTCTGTCCTCCAGAGCCTGTGGTTGTCAGGCTTCAGGAGGGCGATGTGGCCAACTTCACCGTTTTGAGGGCTGGTCCGGCTGACTTTGTCGCCACGGTGATGTATCGCGTCGACTACGGAGAGGCGTCACTGGGTGACTTGGCCCCGCTGAGTAACGACACTGTGCTCGTGTTTGATGTGGGAGAATGGTCAAAGAACATCTCTATAGCTGTGGAGGAGGACGACACACCTGAGACTGACGAACCCTTCTACATTATCCTCTACAACACTACAGGTGTGTAAGGCTGCCACGTTTTCTATGCATTCAAACAAACAAGATACTTCTCCTGACCTCGTGACCTGAACAGGAAAAACTCTGAGCTCTAGTTTTAACCAATGGCTAGGGTCCAGAATGGTTCCTGGTCAGGTGGTCAGGAAAAACTCCTGGCCTTACTCACATTGGACAACCTTCCATACTACACAATCTAATTCATACTCTCAATACAATAGCACAAAGTTATATTGGTCAAGTCATTTTAGAGACAACTGTAGTACGAAACAATCAGCCTCATTACGTTGACTGTTTTTCCTCGTTTAGTAGCTGTAGCTCCAGTGTCTTTGACAGTTGTTTCTGTACATTGGTGAGTAACTGGGTTGATTAGCATTGACATTGGTGACCCTGAAAAGCCCTCCTAATCCCTGTATTGTGTGACACAGACAGGGATGAAAGCGGGTGGGCCTGTGGGGGAACTTAATTACCGAACTCAGACTCACTCTGCATGCTGCAGCACAAAGCCAGCCAGCCAAGTCCACTACTCCACTCCACTGCCTGGCCTGGCTGTATGTGCATGGACTACTTTGAGTGAAAATAAGGGTTAGCCCACTCTGCTCCTCTCCAAGCCTTAGTTTATGAGAGATGGCTCTTATATTACTTTTGTGGCGGACATCTGCAAATGGAACCCTGACCCTCTCCGCTGGGTTGCCGTGGTTACTGTGTGCTATGTTAATGAGAACAGTCTCTCCTTTTTGTTATGATATTTAGCATGACAATACTATGTGGGAATTATAAAGCAACCTCGTCTGTCTCTCTCTCTGTTTCTCCTGTAAAAGCACAAGCACATGCTGAGGACATACTTAAAATAGCTTTTTCTTAAAGAAGTCATTCTCGTGTCGTTTTTTCAAACAAGTTTATTTTTAACTAAGCAAGATGTTAAGTTCAAACAAGAACATTTTACTGACTTGAAGGACATTACATGTTTTTTTTTGTCTTCACATTTCATGTTTCTCAGTAATTAGTTATTTAATAACAACAGAGGGACATAGAGTTTGAACAGGCATCGTAAATTTGTTCAGTGACTTCATGCTTTGAAAGCATGTAAAACTGCTGGATTTGAAACCCAGCGTGTGTGTGTTTGTGTGTTTGTGGGGACAGGTGACGCTGTTGTGTATGGGGCGGACACAGGGACAGTGGTGATTGAGGCCAATGATGAGGCCAACGGAATATTCTCCCTGGAATCCACAGAGAGGTCTGTAGAAGAGGGCAAGACCAACAACTTCAAGTAAGGACCAACTCTAGCCGTAATACACCATACACATTTCCTGCATGCTTGCCCAGCCTCTGGAATAGTTTAGCAGCTCTTAACAAACGTATTGAGTTGATTATTCTAACATCTGTTGTTATAGTTTTATCCAGGGGTGGGACAGTTCGGGTCCTCGGGGGCCGTAATGTCTGCTGGCACTCTTCTCCCTGGCACTTCGTTGGTCCATTAATGTCATTGGTTGCTAAGAAAGTGCTCACATTTAGTTTTCAGGTCTTAATCACTTCCTGTTTTGAAGGAAAACACAGGAAACAGCAGGCATTCAAGCCTCTAAGGTCCTGAGTTGTATCCTTGTGAGTTCTTTCTCAGTCCCACATACAGTCCCTTTGTCTCCTAGTGTTATCAGGGCCAGGGGCCACTTTGGCAACGTGACAGTGTTCTGGCGCCTTTATGCCAATGACACAGCCCTGGAGCCTGGTCAGGAGTTCATCAACAACTTTGGCTCCATTACTTTCACCACGGGAGAGGAGACCAAGCCCATCGTCCTCGAGGCCATCTCAGACAAACTCCCTGAGTTCAACGAGTTCTACATCCTCAGGCTCACCAACATCTCAGGTAAGGGGAAGTGTGAGTGTGAGGCAGATATGCTCCAGGTGAGGGGTGTGGAACTGATCTACTGATCTACTGAACTAGTAGTACTCCTGTAGTAAGTAGGAGACTCACTCACACATAACACACACACAAGCTCACACACACATACACACACCTCATACACACGCTGACACCGTACTCCCATATACACTCACACACACGCATACGCCCACACTCACAAACACACACACATATACACACACACACACACAAACGCACACAGCCAACGCTGCTGTCCCATGTATATAGAGACAGTAGACACTGGACCGTTTCTTTTATACTATCTTTCACACTGTGTATTCATATACTGTATTCTTCATATAGCTCATTCTAAAATATCTACTACTGTACATTATATTTTTGTTACACTATTTATACACCCTACATATTTATATACTGGATTATATACCGGATTCTTATTAATATACTGTATTCTTCCCATATCTCATTTTAATATACTATATCTGCTACTGTACATTGCATTTTTGTTATATTGTTTAAACACTGAGTATTCAAAACATTAAGGACACCTGCTCTTTCCATGACATAGACTGACCAGGTGAATCCAGGTGAAAGCTATGATCCATTATTGATGTCACTTGTTAAATCCACTTCAATCAGTGTAGATGAAGGGGAGGAGACAGATAAAGAAGGATTTTTATGTCTTGAGACAGTCGAGACATGGATTGTGTATGTGTGCCATTCAGAGGTTGAATGGGTAAGACAAAAGATTTAAGTGGCTTTGAAAGGTTATGGTACAGCCTAATTTTAAAATGGATTAAATAAATACAAATCCTCAGCAATCTACACACAATACCCCTTAATGACAAAGTGAAAACAGGTTTTTAGAGATTTTTGCAAATGTATTAAAAATGAAAAAATGAAAAACCTTATGTAAATAAGTATTCAGACCCTTTGCTATGCGACTCGAAATTGAGCTCACGTGCATCCTGTTTCCATTGATCATCCTTGAGATGTTTCTACAACTTGATTGGAGTCCACCTGTGGTAAATTCAATTGATTGGAAATGATTTGGAAAGGCACACACCTGTCCATATAAGGTCCAACAGTTGACAGTGCATGTCAGAGCAAAAACCAAGCCATGAGGTCGAAGGAGTTGTCCGTAGAGCTCCGAGACAGGATTGTGTCGAGGCACAGATCTGGGGAAGGGTACCAAAAAATGTCTGCAGCATTGAAGGTCCCCAAGAACACTGTGGCCTCCATGATTCTTAAATGGAAGAAGTTTGGAACCACCAAGACTCTTTCTAGAGCTGGCCACCCTGCTAAACTGAACAATCAGGGGAGAATGACCTTTGTCAGGGAAGTGACCAAGAACCCGATGGTAGAGATGGGAAAACTTTCCAGAAGGACAACCATCTCTGCAGCACTCCACCAATAATGCCTTTATGGTAGAGTGGCCAGACGGAAGCCACTCCTCAGTAAACGGCACATGACAGCCCACTTGGAGTTTACCAAAATGCACCTAAAGACTCTCACACCCTGAGAAACAAGATTATCTGGTCTGACGAAACCAATATTGAACTCTTTGGCCTGAATGCCAAGTGTCACGTCCGGAGGAAACCTGGCACCATCCTTACGGTGAAGCATGGTGGTGGCAGCATCATGCTGTGGGGATGTTTTTCAGTGGCAGGTACTGGGAGACTAGCAGGATCAAGGGAAAGATGAACGGAGCAAAGTACAGAGAGATCCTTGATGAAAACCTGCTCCAGAGCGCTCAGGACCTCAGACTGGGATGAAGGTTCACCTTCCAACATGACGATGACCCTAAGCACACAGCCAAGACAACGCAGGAGTGGCTTCAGGACAAGTCTCTGAATGTCCTTGAGTGGCCCAGCCCGGATTTGAACCCGATGGAACATCTGTAGAGAGACCTGAAAATAGCTGTGCAGCAACGTTCCCCATCCAACCTGACAGAGCTTGAGAGGATCTGCAGAGAAGAATGGAAGAAACTCCCCAAATACAGGGGTGCCAAGCTTGTAGTGTCATACCCAAGAAGACTCAATGCTGTAATCGCTTCCAAAGGTGCTTCAACAAAGTACTGATTAAAGGGTCTGAATACTAATGTAAATGTGATATTTTATTTTTTTATTTTTAATAAATTAGCTAGATGTATAGAAACCTGTTTTTGCTTTGTCATTATGGGGTATTGTGTGTAGATTGATGAGGGAAAAAAACAATTTAATCAATTTTAAAATAAGGCTGTAACGTAACAAAATGTGGAAAAAGTCAAGGGGTCTGAATACTTTCCGAAGGCACTGTATCTTTCTAGTGAATATACGCATAGATTGCATTTGGATTACTGATACAGAATTATTTGGGTTGTTAACTGGATTTGTCCAGACATGAATGATTTCTTGTTATTTAGTTTTTTATTATTATTTGTTTACTTGTTTGATATTTTTAGCTAGTAACACAAGCATTTCACTGCACCCGCTATAACGTCTACTAAACTTTGTACGCGACCAATAAACTTTGATCTAATTTGATTTAGTATGTTCTTGACTAGAACATCAACATCTGCCTTAAAGCTGCCTATGTTCTCTCAGTTGAAGTGGGGTGTTATGGGTTATTCCTAAATTATTCTGTGTCACGTTACAAATGTTGGCATCAAGCATTAACCATTTTCTGTCTGGTGATATTCCATAGGTGGTTGCCCCGGAGAGGGCGGCCGATTGACTAATACATCCCTCAACGCCTCTGTCCTGATTCCCTTTAACGATGACCCTTTTGGAGTGTTCACCATCGCCGTCGACAACCTGGACCAGGAAGTGGCCGAGGATATCCTGTCAGAAGAGGACATGTCTGATGTAACTTCCTTCACCATCCTGCGGCAGCAGGGCACCTTCGGGGAGGTGCGGGTTGCCTGGGAGATTGTATCTGTCCATTTCCCTCTCGGCCTCCCTCCCATGCAGGACCTCCTCCTCAGCGCCTCCTTCCCCAAGGAGGTGGAGCTCAGGCCCCACTCCAGGAGGCACCACTCAGGCACCGACGCCTGGTTCTTCTCGGGCCTACAGGGGGCCTACGGCACCATCAGCCCAGAGGAAGGGCCTGGCAGCCTGGCTAACTTCACCTTCTCAGCCTGGCTGGTTTCCAGGCCGGACACCAACGGCTTCATCGTGTCCAAGGGCAACAGGAACGGGACGCTGTACTATGGGGTGAAGATTCAGACCAACGAGTCCCATGTGAGTGTGATGCTGTACTACACAGCCTTGGGGGCCAACAACACCCAGGTGGCCCGGGCCACGGCAGAGAGGTTTGTGGAGGACAACGTGTGGCTCCATGTGCTGATCACGGTGGATGATGGGATTATTGAGTTCTTCCTGAATGGCAACCTTATGCCCAGAGGGATTAAGAGTCTCAAAGGAGAGGCCATCACTGATGGTGAGTCCCAATCATTTCATTATATCTTAAAGCTGGAATCCTTAGTCGCTACATCCATTTTTGGACTTATAAATTAATTATATATACCCATTAATTCTGGAAGAATATAACTTAAAATGCCTCATGAGTTTAGTTCAACTGTCATACCCCATCAGAAGCCACAATACAAGCTTGTTTTACTGCAATGTTTATAAACAATGTAAATGTAAACAAACACTGTATAGCCTCAAAACATGGTTAAAACTATATTTTTGATATCATGGATGATCAGTCCTTGCATCTATAGCTCTGTCTATGAATTTAAGAGTGGTTACATTTCTCCAGGTCCATCCCTCAGCTTTTTACCAAAACACAGGCAGGCTGCTTGCGTTGTTATTGTTTCAATTAAAGTCGTCCTCCAGTCTCCTTATAATCTCATTTAACACCGGATTTACTTAACAAAATGCACATCTCAATAGGTGGTCCAGGTACAGTATGTCATTATATGATATGGGACAAGTGGATAGGGGGGGAGGGGGCATTCCTCTTTTGTTCTCCTCTATTGTTCCTCAAGCAAGGGGGAGGATTATGACATCACATTTGACCATCAGACCAACTCCTTGAATGCCCTACTCCTTGACGTTTGCAGTTGTGTAAAAACATATACAGTACCAGTCAAAGCTTTGGACACACCTACTCATTCAAGGGTTTTTCTATATTTTTTTACTATTTTCTACATTGTAGAATAATAGTGATGACATCAAAACTATGAAATAACACATATGGAATCATGTAGTAACCAAAAAAGTGTTAAATAAATCAAAATATATTTTATATTTGAGATTCTTCAAAGTAACCACCCTTGATAACAGGGTGGCAGTTTCTCGCATGGAATAGCCTTCATTTCTCAGAACAAGAATAGACTGACGAGTTTCAGAAGAAAGTTCTTTGTGTCTGGCCATTTTGAGCCTGTAATCGAACCCACAATTGCTGATGCTCCAGATACTCAACTAGTCTCAAGAAGGCCAGTTTTATTGCTTCTTTAATCAGCACAACAGTTTTCAGCTGTGCTAACATAATTGCAAAAGGGTTTTCTAATAATCAATTAGCCTTTTAAAATGATAAACTTGGATTAGCAAACACAACGTGCCATTTGAACACTTGACTTATAGTTGCTAATAATGGGCCTCTGTATGCCTATGCAGATATTCCATAACAAATCAGCCGTTTCCAGCTACAATAGCCATTTACAACATTAACAATGTCTACACTGTATTTCTGATCAATTTGATGTTATTTTAATGGACAAAAAAATTGCTTTTCTTTAGAAAACAAGGACATTTCTAAGTGACCCCAAACTTTTGAACGGTAGTGTATGCTGAGCACTTGTTGTCTGTTTTCCTTTACTCTGCGGTCCAACTGATCCCAAACCATCTCAATTGGGTTGAGGTTTGTGGAGGCCAGTTCATCTGATGCAGCACTCCATCACTCTCCTTGGTCAAATAACCCTTACACAGCCTGGAGGTGTGTTTTGGGTCATTGTCCTGTTGAAAAACAAATGATAGTCCCACTAAGCGCAAACCAGATGGGATGGCATATCGCTGCAGAATGCTGTGGTAGCCATGCTGGTTAAGTGTGCCATCAGTGATGACGGCGCACAATTGGCCCAGCGTCGTCCAGGGTAGGGGAGGGAATGGCCGGCAGGGATGTAGCTCAGTTGGTAGAGCATGGCATTTGCAACGGCGGGGTTGTGGGTTCGATTGCCACGGGGGACCAGTATGAAAGATAAACAATAATGTATGCACTCACTAACTGTAAGTCGCTCTGGATAAGAGTGTCTGCTAAATGACTAAAATGTAAATGTAAATAAATCACCAACAGTGTCACCAGCAAAGCACCCCCACACCATCACACCTCCTCCTCCATGCTTCACAGTGGGAACCACACATGCAGATATCATCCGTTCACAAAGACACGTGGTTGGAACCAAAAATCTCAAATTTGGACTCATCAGACCAAAGGACAGATGTCCATTGCTTGTGTTTATTGGCCGAAGCAAGTCTCTTCTTCTTATTGGTGTCCTTTAGTAGTGGTTTCTTTGCAGCAATTCGACCATGAAGGCCTGATTCACACAGTCTCCTCTGAACAGTTGATGTTGAAATGTGTCTGTTACTTGAACTCTATGAAGCATTTATTTGGGCTGTAATCTGAGGCTGGTAACTCTAATAAATGTATCCTCTGCAGCAGAGGTAACTCTTGTTCTTCCAGTTTCATCATAGTGCTTGATGGTTTTTGCGACTGCACTTGAAGAAACTTTCAAAGTTCTTGACATTTTCCGTATTAACTGACCTTCATGTCTTAAAGTAATGATGGACTGTCGTTTCTGTTTGCTTATTTGAGCTGTTCTTGCCATAATATGGACTTGGTCTTTTACCAAATAGGGCTATCTTCTGATTACCAGCCCTACCTTGTCACAACACAACTGATTGACTCAAACGCATTAAGAAGGAAATAACTTTTAACAAGGCACACCTATTAATTGAAATGCATTCCAGGTGACTACCTCATGAAGCTGGTTGAGAGAATGCCAAGAGTGTGCAAAGCTGTCATCAAGGGTGGTTACTTTGAAGAATCTCAAATATAAAATATATTTTGATTTGTTTAACACTTTTTTGGTTACTACATGATTCCATATGTGTTATTTCATAGTTTTGATATCTTCACTATCATTCTACAATGTAGAACATTTTAAAAATAAAGAAAAACTCTTGAATGAGTAGGTGTGTCCAAACTTTTGACTGGTTCTGTATATATTTTGCTCAAAACATACCCTTTACTGTGTGTGTACTGTATTTATACTTGGGATATCGTTTTCAACAGGAAACGGAGGACGTCTTTAAGGATTCTAGCTTTAAAGACAAGATTCATAATAATTATTAAGACAGTATCTCACGGAATGTTTTGGATAGGAGTTACAAACTGAACTGGGCCTCTACTCCACTAGCTAGAGTTCAATCAGCTTCCTGTAGCTATGCCAACCATCTCAGTCATATTTTGTATCTGAATCTGCATAGTTTAATGATTTTAGTAAATTATAATGAAGGTATAACTGTTAATTAATGATGTCCAAAATGAACCGTTTGAAATTATACTTATAATTGTGTTATTGTATAATCTACACTCTCAGACAACAGTAACTTCAATTAAGTCTAGCCTCTCTGAGCCTGTTCCCATGAGTTGTCTCACTCTCAGCAGACAGAGGCTTCCCCATCAATCTGACGTCACTGGTGGTCTGTGAGTGACAACTGTGGGACCCTGTTCCTCTCCTTGCTCTTGTGGCCCACATCTGGTCAGGAAGGATCTAGTTAAAACCCTCCATGCATTCCACCCAACCCCTCTCCCATTGTTTAGACTTACAGAGATTCTGCAATGCTTGAGCGAGCGCTTTGCCGCCGCAATGGTGGACATTGTTACAGGCAGAAGAAAGCCGACGGCAGTTTTCTTTTCTCCCCTCAATAACTGAAGACAATGTGCCCCCCCCCCCCCCCCCCCCCACCCCCATAACGGGACTATCTGTGTTGATAGCTTTTCTTTGGTTAACTTCAATCAAAGGGATATAAATGTGAACATCAGACACGTCCGACATTGTCTGACACTGTCAACTCAACCAGCGTTTTATTGCTTTGTCTGATGGCTTTGTCCGTGGTCACCATCGCAGGTTTTCTCAATTTGACCAGTGTTCTGCTGGGTACTGGTCAAGCCCTCAGAAAGGTGGTTCATCATATGGAATGACCTCTGAACTAGTTAATAGTTTAAAAATGTGCACTGCAGAGATAGGCCTAATGATGATGCTCTGTACCCACTTTTTTCCAAGTACAGATGAAGACAGATATGGCATTGGAATAGATACAGTGGGGAAAAAATGTATTTAGTCAGCCACCAATTGTGCAAGTTCTCCCACTTAAAAAGATGAGAGAGGCCTGTAATTTTCATCATAGGTACACGTCAACTATGACAGACAAAATGAGAAAAAAAAATCCAGAAAATCACATTGTAGGATTTTTAATGAATTTATTTGCAAATGATGGTGGAAAATAAGTATTTGGTCAATAACAAAAGTTTCTCAATACTTTGTTATATACCCTCTGTTGGCAATGACACAGGTCAAACGTTTTCTGTAAGTCTTCACAAGGTTTTCACACACTGTTGCTGGTATTTTGGCCCATTCCTCCATGCAGATCTCCTCTAGAGCAGTGATGTTTTGGGGCTGTCGCTGGGCAACATGGACTTTCAACTCCCTCCAAAGATTTTCTATGGGGTTGAGATCTGGAGACTGGCTAGGCCACTCCAGGACCTTGAAATGCTTCTTACGAAGCCACTCCTTCGTTGCCCGGGCGGTGTGTTTGGGATCATTGTCATGCTGAAAGACCCAGCCACGTTTCATCTTCAATGCCCTTGCTGATGGAAGGAGGTTTTCACTCAAAATCTCACGATACATGGCCCCATTCATTCTTTCCTTTACACGGATCAGTCGTCCTGGTCCCTTTGCAGAAAAACAGCCCCAAAGCATGATGTTTCCACCCCCATGCTTCACAGTAGGTATGGTGTTCTTTGGATGCAACTCAGCATTCTTTGTCCTCCAAACACGACGAGTTGAGTTTTTACCAAAAAGTTCTATTTTGGTTTCATCTGACCATATGACATTCTCCCAATCCTCTTCTGGATCATCCAAATGCACTCTAGCAAACTTCAGACGGGCCTGGACATGTACTGACTTAAGCAGGGGGACACGTCTGGCACTGCAGGATTTGAGTCCCTGGCGGCGTAGTGTGTTACTGATGGTAGGCTTTGTTACTTTGGTCCCAGCTCTCTGCAGGTCATTCACTAGGTCCCCCCGTGTGGTTCTGGAATTTTTGCTCACCGTTCTTGTGATCATTTTGACCCCACGGGGTGAGATCTTGCGTGGAGCCCCAGATCGAGGGAGATTATCAGTGGTCTTGTATGTCTTCCATTTCCTAATAATTGCTCCCACAGTTGATTTCTTCAAACCAAGCTGCTTACCTATTGCAGATTCAGTCTTCCCAGCCTGGTGCAGGTCTACAATTTTGTTTCTGGTGTCCTTTGACAGCTCTTTGGTCTTGGCCATAGTGGAGTTTGGAGTGTGACTGTTTGAGGTTGTGGACAGGTGTCTTTTATACTGATAACAAGTTCAAACAGGTGCCATTAATACAGGTAACGAGTGGAGGACAGAGGAGCCTCTTAAAGAAGAAGTTACAGGTCTGTGAGAGCCAGGAATCTTGCTTGTTTGTAGGTGACCAAATACTTATTTTCCACCATAATATGCAAATAAATTCATAAAAAATCCTACAATGTGATTTTGTAGAGAAAAACAATCTCAATTTGTCTGTCATAGTTGACGTGTACCTATGATGAAAATTACAGGCCTCTCTCATCTTTTTAAGTGGGAGAACTTGCACAATTGGTGGCTGACTAAATACTTTTTTTCCCCACTGTAGGCCTACACCTTTCAGTCAGCATTGTAGCATGAAACCATTCTGGAATGGATGCACTGTACAATACATGCTTGTCAGGTTCTCTGTATACAAAAAGCTTGGCTTTTTTGACAGCAGCATGATCACCCATTGCTTGATGTTTTTCTGAGTGTATTCTGCCTCCTGTGTGTGTGTTGCAGGTTCAGCTCCGGTGCGGATCGGCTCGGACCCCTACGGAGAACAGCGCTACACGGGCCTCCTGCAGGACCTGCGTCTCTACCACAGCAGACTGAACCGCTTGGAGATCCACGAGCTCCACGCGCAGCCCACCAAGATGGACCTGAGGAACATCTCTGGCTACCTGCAGTACTGGCAGGACGAGAGGCAAAAGGCCTTTGTGGTGGAGGTGCGGGACGACAAGGAGGAGGAAGGGGAGGAGGTGTTCTACCTGCAGCTGGTGGCGGTCCATGGGGGGGCGCGTCTCCCCCTCCCCCGCCCCACCGCCACCCTGCGGGTGATGAAGAGCGACAACGCCAACGGCCTCTTTGGCTTCACTGGCGCCTGCATACCAGACGTAAGACAGGCACACACACATGAGCATGCACGCACACACACGCACATGCACGCACCCGCACGAAAGCACGCGCACGCACACTGTACATGATTTACAGTATAAATGAGAAGCTATTGACGCTATTGAGATGAAATGTAGACCATATTTACCAACTTGACAGACACATCAGCAACAACGATGTACAACACACAGTAGAACGGAGACCGCACTGGCTTTGATCCATCACGTCTCCCGAGAATATGGATATTTTGTTACCTAGAAAGACATGTAATTGAAGCAAGTGGTTAGTGAGTGCATATCCTTGTGCATATTTAACCAGTGTTTACGCCTGGGTGGAGAAAGTGTGCGCTCTGCCCTTTAGGGAGATTGGACACGTGGTGTCTCTAATGGCTCCTCTCATGTAGAGCGACAGATGGCAGAGCAGTCAAGGGCATTCCTATGGAACCAGAGTCCTAGCAGCACAATAGGTGATCAACCAGGGGATGGCATTCCATCAGAACTAGGGTCCCTCTAACGCTGCAAGGGGACAAAGGGACTCAGAGGCATGCGGGGCTATCGGGTGGACTCTCTGCAAATCACATCTTGACTGTGCAGGAATTAGAGGATCCATGAAAGTGTTTTTCTCAAGCCCAAAGGTGCATTTTTTGGAATAAGTGGTGTCATTCTTGAATTGGTAACGAACTACTGTATCTTGCAGTGGAAAACATGACAATGTCAAAAATGATTTTCTTTCCGTTTTATCGAAAGTTTGTGTACAATTTTTATGAGTGTAATGTGACAATATGTTTTAAAATATCCCAATGTCTAGTTGCTTAATTCAGGGAGCATCATTAATAACCAGGTCCTATCTCTTTTCTCTATGGCTAGACGTCAGAGGAAGGCTCCACCATCTCCTGTGTTATTGAACGGATGCGTGGGGCTCTGGACCACGTCTATGTCAACTACTCGGTCACTCAGTTGGACTCAGACAGCCAGGTTCAGGCCAACCAGGACTTTGCTAATGCTAGCGGCTCTGTTGTCTTCCTGCCTGGTCAGCGCTCTGAGGTGAGGGGGAACACCCAGAGTCAGATATATACACACACACACACACACACACAGAGAGAGACACACACATACATACACACATACAGCTCTGGGAAGACTACCCTGCACTCCTCAATCATTCATGAGCTAGGGAAACCCCATTGAGCAATGAGCATGCTCCTTGGTACACCTGTAGAGCAACCCTATACATACAGGAGAACATGCACACACACACGTTGCATATAAATGCAACTGCAAGAAGGTCAGCCTATAGGCAGTTACAAACCAGTCAATATAAATGTTTGACCATGCATCTACATTTCTGTCCATATTGAATCCCAGAAAACTATTTTCATCCATTCAGTGGTGGTGTTGTTGACTTGTAGCCCCATCTAGTGGCTAAAAGGAAAATGTTGTTGTGGTATCAGGTGCCTGCTAATGATTAGGCTTAGCCTCAAATCCCACTACAGAGATCAAAGCCTGCAAACACATTATGGATATCTACACTAGGACTAATTTTAGATTAAAATCTTCACTCTCATGTGTCTCTCATGTGTTATGACATCTCCCTGCGTCTCCCAGGTCCTGAACCTGCTGGTGCTGGATGATGACACCCCTGAGTTCGCTGAGTCCTTCCAGGTCACCCTTGTGTCAGCTGAGTCAGGTGACGGGAAGCCAGGCTCTACCCCCACCAGTGGGGCCAGCATCGACCCTGACAACTCAGCCACCACTGTCACCATCACGGCCAGCGACCATCCCTATGGTACAGAGAGAGACGCACACAAACACACACACATCACTGTGCCACCCCACTAGAACCTCAAACAGATACCCATCTTCCCAGATCCCACCCTTAGTTGCACTAATCAAGAACTGCAGCTATCTGCACAGTCACATAGTTAAAGGGATAGTTTAGTGCTAGCTGTACTTCTAGTCTTTGTGCTAAGCTATTTAGCATGAGGCTCACGAAACTAACTCTAACTTCCTTCATACTGGACGCAGATACATCAAAATGGTATCCACGAGTTCATCTGACTCTGCAAAAATCCCGAACTATCCCTTTAAGAGAAACATAAATTAACTTACAAGCTACTTGAAAGGTTCAGCTTCTGGCATGACATGAAAACAATGTAACAAACTGCTATTGGTGTTAGTTAATAACTGCCTGTTATACATATGTCATCACAGACACAATGGAGCCGAAATAATTGATCACTCCAAGTTAAGGATGTTCCCACGTTGTGAATGTATGGTGAACATTTCATGTATTGAGCCTCACTCGCTCTCATAATCTCTGACAGGCGTATTGTTTTTATGAGGCTAGATGAGCAGCTGTTGTGAGTACTGGTACCCCTCTCTCTCTCTCCCAGGTCTGATCCAGTTCCAGACCAGCCTGCCAGCTGAGGGGATGATCCGCCCAGCAACAGAGCCTGCCCATGTCACGGTCAATGAGGAGGACGGAGAGGTCCACCTGCTGGTGGCCAGGGCCCAAGGCCTGCTGGGAAGAGTCATGGTCGGCTACAGGACCTCACCGTTCACTGCAGTCAGCCCAGAGGACTATGAGGTCATTTCCAGCCTTCCTTATCCCGCAGACCAGGGGCTCAGGCAGACACAGGGATGGATGGTTACTGGAGATCTATGAATTCTCACACAAATCACCTTTAGAAATCAATGCTTTATAAAGCGTGATTTACTTATGTATGTTTATAAGGATTCGACCCATAATAATGTCCTATTCCATCCTTATACTTGGCTATCTGCTGCGCTTTTATTTTGAAATGATGAAGACAATAATAAGATGATAATGGATGACAATTCCAGTGTGTTTGAGTCACTAGACGCAGCCCAATTCTGACCTGTTGCCCAATTATTGTCAAAAAAAGCTGATCTGATTGGTTTTTAAAAATCAATGAGTGGAAAAATATCAGAAATGGGCTGCCTGTGTCAACACAGGTAATGATAGTGAGCTTATGCTAACTACCCAAGCTAACCTCTTGTTCCCTACCTGATCTGCCTGCACCTGTTCCATGGCCCAAACAGGACTCAGATGGCTTGCTAGACTTCCTGCCAGGAGAACGCTTCAAGTACATTAATGTGACGGTCATAGACAACCCTGTGCCAGAGCTGGACAAAGTGTTCAGAGTGGAACTCTACAATCCTGACGGAGGAGGTAAGAGACACAAATACCATTGGTTGATTAATTGATCGGCCAATTGGTGATGATCTTCTTATCTCCTCTTCTCTTACTTCAGATAATTGTTAAAGAGTTCACCTTCCTATCCTGTAGTCATATCCTTCAGTATTTCCCATCCCTGAGATCCTGTTCTAACTGCTCCTTTGCCTGTGTTCTGTCACATTGTGTCCTTGTGTGCTCCTGTGTGCTCCTGTGTGCTCCTGTGTGGTCTTGTGTGCTGTGCTCCCCAATGATCCCCACTCCTCTGGTGTGATCTGGTGTGATCCTGTGTGATCCCAAAGTGGATCAGTTCCTTCGGAGTGAAGGCAGTGGCAGTGGAGAAAGTGACACTGAGTTTTTCCTCCCGTCCTCTCACCGCCGTGGTAAGATCACCTTCCCCTCCCCCACCCCCTCCCATCCTTTTAGACTCTACCGCTCCCCCTAAGCCTATGTATTGCTGTGTGTGTGTGCCTGTCTTTGCGTGCTGGTGTGTGTGCCTGTGTGTGAATGTGTGTGTGTGTGTGTGTGTGTGTGTGTGTGTGTGTGTGTGTTTGCATGCCTGCATATTTGTGTGTATGCTATTTACATTGCAATGGGGCCAGTGAGCAGTGACCAGGGAGATTGGTGTGGGAAAGCAAATAGGCATTCTATTGAGTGGAGGGCAGCAGTGGTAAGTGGTGAACCGAAATGTCACAGACACCAAGGCTCATTGTTTCTCTGTTGGGGTCCACCCTCAACCTTATTAAAAACCCACAATGCACTGCAGTGTTCAGTGCTATTATTTCAAGTGGATCAATAGAATTCAACTTCGATTACTAATTTTAACAAATTGTAACTATGAAAATAAGGGCAGCCTTTACAGTTGTGTGACGGTTTTTCTATATAGCCAGTCTGGGAGTCGCCTCCCATATCACCGTGACCATCGCTGCCTCTGACGACGCACACGGAGTGTTCCAGCTGAGCCAGGACTCACTGTCTGTCAACGGCACCGAGCCTGAGGAGGGACGCAGCACTGTGCTCCTGCAGGTCAGTGTGTGTGTGTGTCTGTCTGTGTGTGTGTCTGTGTCTATGTGTGTGTTCCCCTGACAGTAGGTTGTAACCTCTCTCTTTGCCCGTATCAGGTGGTGCGGTCATTCGGTGCCCTATCCAACGTGACTGTATTTTGGGAGGCTGAGGACAGCTCTGAGGAAGACCTCATCAGCAGGGCCGGGAACATCACCTTCCACGTGGGCCAGACCAGAGGGGAGATTGAGCTCCAGGTGGCCCAGGACGAGGTGCCGGAGCTGGACAAGAGCTTTGCCGTGTCCCTGGTCAACGTCTCCCATGGGCGTCTGGGTGTGAGGACTGAGGCCTCTGTGACAGTGCTGGCCAGTGATGACCCCTACGGAGTGTTTGTGTTCTCAGAGAACAGCATGCCGGTGCGCCTGCCCGAGGGCCACACCCTGGTCATCCTCACCATCCACAGGCAGAGGGGGCTGATGGGAAAGGTACGCGTGACGTACGGAACCCTGAGTGAGGCTGATGGCGCCCCCTTCATGACCCCGGGTGTGGGCCGGGCCAGTGAGGGGAATGACTTCGTCCCCCTCCTGGAGTCGGTGGTGTTCACAGCCAATCAGAGTGAGGCTAATGTAACCCTTCGAGTGCTGGATGACGAAGACCCTGAGAGGGACGAGTCCGTGTTCGTGGAGTTGATCAGTGTCAATCTCATAGAAGGAGAGCAGGAGAGACTAAGTAAGTCACTGCCACATTTTCACATCCCAACTATGAATCTCCAGGCCTATAGTCGTCACATGGTCAACATTTGTAGCTGGAATATGAGATTTTTGTCAAACCATACGCTTTTCCATGTTTCTTCTCGCTTTCCTAGTTGCCCAGTCTCCTCGTCTTGGTCCGAAGGCTGAGATCGTGGCCCAGGTGATAGTGGAGGCGAGTGATGACGCCTTTGGGTTCCTGCAGCTGTCTGCCCCGGCGGTCAGTGTAGCTGAGGACTACGTCGGACCCATCATCAATGTGACACGCATCGGGGGAATTTTTGCTGATGTGTCCGTGAAGTTCAGGGCCGTACCAATGACTGCCAGAGTTGGTAAGTCTGGTCTGCGTTTCATGTCAATAGTGTATGTTATATTGTTAAGCATGTACAGTGTGTGTGTGTGTGCGTGCGCATGTCTGTAATAATGTGTGCGTGTGTGTGTAACAATGTGTGTGTCAATGCAGGTGACGACTACAGCGTAGCGTCTACTGACGTGGTTCTCCTGGAGGGGGAGACCAGTAAGCCTGTACCCATCTACATCATTAACGATGTGATTCCTGAGCTGGAGGAGACCTTCCGCATCGAGCTGCTCAACGTGACCACAGGGGGCGCTCGACTGGGGGAGCTCACTCGCACCATCATCACCATCCTACCCTCTGATGACCCCTTTGGGGCCTTCGGTTAGCTCACGTCTCTCTCACACACAGAAATGCACTCATGTTAGCTGATAATTGCAACAACAACAATAAAATGAAAAGCCGATAGATAAAATTGTTGCCGGCCAGATTTCCTGGAGAAAAAAAATCCAGCAGAGAGGGGTTTCTCTCTCCAAAACAGAGTAAAGATGGCCTCAAGATCACGTCTTCTTGACGACAAGTAACGAGGCTGATGCGCATCGCAAGCTGCTCTAAGGAGTTGGACAGTTTTGACTTCCCAAAATCAGCGGCTCACTTTGAGCAGGCCATGGTCCGCCGCAAACGCAAGTAAATTAGATGCAAATTATTGTGTTCGGAGACAGCCATGTTTTCTTATTTTTTCATAAAAGTGTTCATACAAATACCATATAGGACAGGTCGATCGCAAATTCTACTTTATTTTAGTACAAGTTTAAAGGCTAATTTTTTATTCTGTTAAAAAACATAATCTAAATATGATTTCTGTCATTCTGAGCACCGCGGTTGGACAACCTAATGGGTTACGCACCCAGTGCATATAGATGTTCGGTAAATCAAAATAAATATTTTCCTAACGGAAACCTTGCCACACACAAATGTAATTGCTCATTCAAATCAGATTATAGGATATGCACAATACTGACTACATCAGAAAATTGTCCACTGTATTTTAGTCTAAAAGAAAATTCCAGCATGTTTCCTTTATCAACAAATGACATTAGACCTCATAAAGGTACTGTTTGTGTTCCCTAGTATTTCAGGCTGCTCCTGTCACCATAGAGGAGCCAGGGGCGAACTCCTTTGAGGTGACACTGCCCATAGTGCGTAATGCTGGGACCATAGGGACCGTGGCTATCCAGTGGCGAGCCACGGTCAACGGCAAAGCAGCAGTAGGGGACCTCCGGCCTGTGTCAGGAGAGGTCATCTTTGCGCCTGGAGAAACCATTAAGACGTTGAATGTCGAGGTCCTAGCAGACGATGTGCCGGAAATTGAGGAAGTAGGAAAGCAATCTTCTTTTTTGCCAAACAAAGGATTTTTATAATGATATGTACTATATAATATATAGGCCTATATAATATACAGTATGTCATTATTCCTCTAAACGTTCTGTGCTTTTCAGATAATCAAGGTGGAATTGACTGGTGCCACTAATGGAGGAAACCTTGGAATAGACAATACAGTCAATATCATTGTCCCAGCCAATGACAACCCGTATGGGACGGTCTACTTTGACCAGTCTGTGTATCGAGTGCAGGAACCTCTCGAGGGAATTTTTTTGGCCAACATTACTGTCCGTCGAAGGTTTGTCCTTTAGTTTGAGTTCTATCCTCTTGCAGTATTATTGCATCTTACCTTAGAATTTGCAGTGAATCGACATATTGCTACTATTCAAACATAATTCTTAACTAACTCTCTCTCGCACTCTCTCTCTCTCGCTCTCCTTCATCACATCAGTGGTGGTCATTTTAGCCGAGTTGAGGTCCTCTACAGCACCTCAGAGATAGACATAGTGAGCATGGCCCAGACTGAGGGCCAGAACCTGCTGTTGTACTACAACCCCCCGGTGTCAGGAGTACCCTCTGGCACCCCCCACAGGCCAGTCAACGTCAGCTCTCAGGGAGACCCCCTGGCTGCCTGTGCTGCAGTCTGCCTGAGGGAGCAGGCCTGCCAGGCCTTCTCCCTGTCTCTCCCTGGGGGCTCGTCCCCCATGGCCTTCTGCACCTGGGTGACCAGCGGGGCCGCCCAGCTCACCGCGTCCGCCCAGACCCTCACCTATGCCAAAAACACCACGGCCGCCGCCGTTCTCTTCAGCTCGCAGGCCGTGGCGGGTAGCGACTACACCACCATGACAGCACAGACGGCCATCTTGGAAGACGGCTCGGGTGTAGCCAACCTGACCGTTCCCATTCTGACAGACAAACTCCCTGAGATGGACGAGAGCTTCTCCATCCGCATCCTGAAGGTGGAGCTGGTCAACTTGACCGTGGCTGGGAAGAACCTGCCCTCCATAGGGCAACCGGACAAGGCAGTGGTCACCATAGGCATGAACGGCGATGCCTTTGGGGTGTTTCTCATCTACAGCCTCAGCCCTAACGCTACAGAGGATGGGATCTATCTGGAGGTGAGAGAGGAGCCGCGCGTCTCAGTTCCCCTGGTCATAGAGAGGAGGGGAGGCAGCCTAGGACAGTTGACAGTTGAGTGGAGGTTCGTGGGCGGAATGGCTACACCCAACACTGACTTCACCGGGACGGGGGAAACACTTGTCTTTGCCGACGGTAGGTTTAAAATCTAGTACTACATAATGCTTTTTGGATATGAATGTTATTTTGATTTACAGTATATTGTGTTCTCTCCATCCAAAGGCGATTTGAAGAAGACCATTGAGATAGTGATTGTGGATGACTCGGAGCCAGAGGACAGCGAGACCCTGATGGTTGGCTTGGTGAAGACGGCGGGAGGCAGCCGGATCCTGCCCAGCTCGGACACGGTCACCATCGTCATCCTGGCTAACGACAACGTGGCGGGGGTGGTGGGATTCCACGCCGTCTCACGCTCTGTCATCGCCAGAGAGGGTGGGTGTAGTCCAGGTGACCCTGTCAGTCACTTCAATAAAGCAAGCATCAACTTAATCACTGTGTGAATTATTTAGCTCTGCACCGAGCCAGTTTACCAAGCAGCCACTAATGACAAAATGACCTCTGCCTCCCCTGATTAGAACACCTGTCATAATGCATCAGCATAGTACTGTATTAAGCTGAAAATTGCAATTCTCTTATTTTTGAATATCATGGCTTCATGATCACAAATTCATACGAGTGCTGTTTGTAAAGGGCCACACACCTACCATACCTCAGCCTCATCACTTTGCTCTCCGTGGGTTCAGAGACATCCAATGAATTAATGAAGGAATGCAAGGGATAGTGGGAGGAGCATGTTGCAACAGGTGGCACATGTAGTACGTTTCAGGCATGACAGAGCCCTTCCACTCTTATCTGTGCAAATACTTACACCACTTCCTAATGGAAAGAGTGTTTCTGAACCACCTAGCTACAGTAGCTAAGGAATGACCTTCGTAAGGCTGTAATCAAAGCCTGTATCCTGGTCTGCTAATCTAAAACAGCAAACTATGGGCAACATTTTGCACAAGGAATTGGCAATGAGAAATAACCTTAACATTTCACATAGACAGGAAGGCATTCTGTATATGCCAGTGCAAGTTACACGGTTTTATGGTATTTTTTGCACAAGCACGTGCTTGACAAATGTTGAGCCATACGTATTACCTTAAAAGGTGACTAACGTGATTGTGTGTGTGTGCGTGTGCATGTTGTAGGGGAGATGCTGTCTCTGCTGGTGACCAGGACAGCTCCTGGTCTGGGGAACGCCACCGTGGACTGGGCCATCCAAGGCCCCCGCGTTGCCAGGACCTTTACACATACCTCAGGACTACTATTCTTCACCGAGGTAAACAAACTGACCAGGGTACCTCCTCAAGAATCGACTTTGACTGGAGTCTGTTTCATGGTGACCATTCCATGTATAGTATTCGGTTCATTCTGGTGTATATGGTACTTGTTGTTCGAGCATCTTCTGTCACTCACACAGGGAACACTGAACACTACCATAGTCCTCCAGCTACTTGAAGACGCAACACCTGAGGAGAATGAAGAGTATAGGGTGGTCCTGTCCAACATCCACACTTATGGTAAATCACATTCTCTGGCCTTGTCATACGAAGATAACTGAACATGCACATTTCAATCTCTCCTATTATGTACTTGGATCTCTATTTATTTAACTTTACTTTAACCATGCTAGTCATTTAAGAGCACGTTTTTATTTACAATTAACTGTATGCAGCATGGATTGGGCATAGAGGATACCATAGTCTGTTAGACCCAATAACCTCTAAGGCTGGAAATGAGTGTGACTAGTGTTTGTATGGATATTATCCATCAGTGTTCTGTTCTCCCTGTCCCCCAGGTGTTCTGGTAACGGGTCATGCAGCGCTGGACATCCAGGGGCGCGAGGCGGTGGTTACCGTGGAGACCAGTGACGAGCCGTTCGGGATGCTGAGCATCGCCCCATCCTCCCTCAGACTGAGCACAGAGGAGCGCGACGGCATCCTCAACGTCTTCATCAACAGAGAGCTTGGGGCTTCAGGTCAGTCTGGAATAGGGACTTGAGACTAGCTAGCGGCGACAGAGTTTTTCCTGACAACGTGATCTGACCAGGGAAAACTCCAGGCCTTAATGATGGGAAAATGTGTGACTATACTGTACATTTGATCTATTGTCTCAAAACAACATTAGCCGCATTTGCTGCTATGTTAATTAATCAGATGTCACCTAGTAACTGTTATCAGTTAACTGTTATGCAATCTAATGTTAAAACAAATGTGTTTGTTAACAGCTACAGTGGCTTGCGAAAGTATTCACCCCCCTTGGCATTTTTCCTATTTTGTTGCCTTACAACCTGCAATTAAAATGGATTTTTTGGGGGATTGTATCATTTGATTTACACAACATGCCTACCACTTTGAAGATGCAAAATCTTTTTTATTGTGAAACAAACAAGAAATAAGACAAAAAAAAACAGAAAACTTGAGCGTGCATAACTATTCATCCCCCCAAAGTCAATACGTTGTAGAGACACCTTTTGCAGCAATTACAGCTGCAAGTCTCTTGGTGTATGTCTCTAAGCTTGGCACATCTAGCCACTGGGATCTTTTCCCATTCTTCAAGGCAAAACTGCTCCAGCTCCTTCAAGTTGTATGGGTTCCGCTGGTGTACAGCAATCTTTAAGTTATACCACAGATTCTCAATTGGATTGAGGTCTGGGCTTTGACTAGGCCATTCCAAGACATCTAAATGTTTCCCTTTAAACCACTCGAGTGTTGCTTTAGCAGTATGCTTAGGGTCATTGTCCTGCTGGATGGTGAACCTCCGTCCCAGTCTCAAATCTCTGGAAGACTGAAACAGGTTTCCGTCAAGAATTTCTCTGTATTTAGCGCCATCTATCATTCCTTCAATTCTGACCAGTTTCCCAGTCCCTGCCGATGAAAAACATCCTCACAGCATGATGCTGCCACCACCATGCTTCACTGTGGGGATGGTGTTCTCGGGGTGATGAGAGGTGTTGGGTTTGCGCCAGACACAGCGTTTTCCTTGATGGCCAAAAAGCTCAATTTCAGTCTCATCTGACCAGAGTACCTTCTTCCATATGTTTGGGGAGTCTCCCACATGCCTTTTGACGAACACCAAACGTGTTTGCTTATTTTTTTCTTTAATCAATGGCTTTTTTCTGGTCACTCTTCCGTAAAGCCCAACTCTGTGGAGTGTACAGCTTAAAGTGGTCTTATGGACAGATACTCCAATCTCCGCTGTGGAGCTTTGCAGCTCTTTCAGGGTTATCTTTGGTCTCTTTGTTACCTCTCGGATTAATGCCCTCCTTGCCTGGTCCGTGAGTTTTGGTGGGCGGCCCTCTCTTGGCAGGTTTGTTGTGGTGCCATATTCTTTCCATTTCTTAATTATGGATTTAATGGTGCTCCGTGGGATGTTAAAAGTTTCAGATATTTTTTTATAACCCAACCTTCATCTGTACTTCTCCACAACTTTGTCCCTGACCTGTTTGGAGAGCACCTTGGTCTTCATGGTGCCGCTTGCTTGGTGGTGCCCCTTGCTTAGTGGTGTTGCAGACTCTGGGGCCTTTCAGAACAGGTGTATATATACTGAGATCATGTAACAGATCATGTGACACTTAGATTGCACACTGGTGGACTTTATTGAACAAATTATGTGACTTCTGAAGGTAATTGGTTGCACCAGATCTTATTTAGGGGCTTCATAGCAAAGGGGGTGAATACATATGCATGCACCACTTTTACGTTATTTATTTTTTAGAATTTTTTGAAACAAGTTATTTTTTTTATTTCACTTCACCAATTTGGACTATTTTGTGTATGTCCATTACATGAAATCCAAATAAAAATCCATTTAAATTACAGGTTGTAATGCAACAAAATAGGAAAAACGCCAGGGGGGATGAATATTTTGCAAGGCACTGTAAGTATGTGTTGTTGTTCTGTGTTCAGGGGTGGTGAATATCAGCTATGAGACGGTCCGAGGGTCCCTCCAGAACCTGTCACAGGTGGAAGGGGGTGGCGGCCTGGCTGAACCAGGACAGGACTTCCTCCCTGCGTCGGGCTCAGTGACCCTGCAGGACGGTCAGACCTCTGTGGCCATTCCCATCACCATACTAGACGTAAGGCCACCACCAGGGTTGGACTCAATGCCTTTTCAATTCAGTCAATTCAGCAAATAAGTTGACATTCCAATTGCTCAATGCTCCATTTCCTTGATTCTTCTCTATGCATTTTTAGGGGAATTGGAATTTCAGTTTACTTGCTAAATTGACTGAATTGAAAAATAATTGTCTCCAACTCTGGCCACCACAGCAAACACAGTCATATTTCTCTAATTTGGCTCTGGTGGTACTCTGGTAGGCTAAGTGTAGGATGCCTATTCATTTAATTTGAGTTTTCCTAGAATTGATGCAGTATAAATGTAGCAGACTATATGTCATACAAATTATATACATTTATTTTTCCAGGATGACGTCCCCGAGTTGCAGGAATTCTTCCTGGTCAACATTACGTCTGCAGTACTCATCACCACCCTCTCACCTGCCCCTAAACTAGGTATGCTGGGTTTGGCATAGTCCGAAATGGGCAACTATATATGTTAATCACAAACAAAGCATTCCAAATGTGCATGGTTTTCCCACATCGATCCTATACATCACTTTTAGTTCTATATGTTATTTTATGGGTTTTCCAACCCTTCCCTTTTTTCTGCCCTAAACTTCCTGTTATGTAATATAAATTCCCTTTTCCTGTTCAATTCTGTGTAATTCTATAATCTGTCTTGTATTCTATTCGGTTTAATCTCTTATTTTCTCCTCTCTCCTTTCATTTCTCTTCTTTCATTCTGTGTGATGAGTAGAAGTTGTATATTTTACACTGAAAGGTAACAGATATGTAGTGTTTATTACAGTATAATGCTTTGCATTGTGTAGTATGGCATAATGGCTAATATGCGATTCATTCAACTACATTCAACGGTCACAGTTTTATCATTGATCTGCAAATATATCCAAAATGTCCTTGGCACTACTGCCTCTTGTGTAATCCTAACCATAGCCCATTTTATGAATGGGTAACTTAAGAAAACAATGAGTAGACAGAATACAACACGGACTGGAGAGGCACAGGGCCCATCTGCCTGCCAGCACTCAGTGGCTACGATTCTTCTGATTGATGCCTCTATGATTGAGGGGCCATTGGGATTTGGGTCGAGCTGAAAAACACTGTGGTGAGCAGTGGGACGGCCAAACCAAACGCTTTAAATGGCCCTCATGCGGTCTGTGCCCAGAGCGAGAGATAGACAGTCAGGACATTATAAATCAGTCAACACATACTCCAACTTTCAGCTGGCTGCATGTGAGAAGTGAATGGTCCTCGTCTCCTCATCTTGTGCTCCTAATGTAGCGTCAAACAAGTGCTACATATCCTCTTTAGGTGCTCTGGCCCACGTTTTGCTATCATAGTGATCATGCTGAAGCTAATGCTTTAGGACATGAGCTACCCTTCCCATTGTAATGTTGCCTTTCCTCTTCAGACACCCAGGGTTTGGTGGCAGAAATCAGCATTGGTGCCAATGATGGAATTCGAGGTGTCATTGAATGGACAAACACTAAGTAAGTGGCTCTGTGTTCAACCTCTCATTTACAGAGATCCCCCCCTTTTCCCCCCTTTTTATCCATCTATGAGATGTACTCTGTTTCTAAGAGCACCTGTGGTTGTGCAGAATTACCCAGAAGCACTCCCTCTACTCTATCACATTTTTCCTCACACTGACTGCTTGGTTGGGAAAAGCCTACACTGCTCTCACCCTTTAGTAGGATCTGTTTTTCTTTCCCCTTTCATGGCTGTAAATCAACAAATCACCCAAGTCACAACATTTTACATTAATATTTTAGTCATTTAGCAGACACTTGTATCCAGAGAGACTTACAGTTAGTGCATCCGTCTTAAGGTGGGTGAGACAAGCACATATTATAGTCATAGGAAGTAAATCCTTACTCTCTTACCTCTAGTGGCAGACAAATCTGATGTTTGGTTGTGTGTTTTCCCTTGTAGTTTTGAGGTGAATGAGACCATGGGCGTGCTGAGCCTGGTGGCCTACAGGAGCGCAGGGACCTACGGAAACGTCTCGCTCTTCTTCTACGCTCACAACCTGGAAGCTCAGCTGGGCCTGGACTACAACGCCACCCCATCGGTGAGGCCACGCCCCTAACCCACTAAACCACCAATCAGAGTTCTTAATGAGTAGGACCAGGAGTTTTCCCTGACCATTTGTTCTGACCGGGAAACACTCTGGGCCCCACCAATGAGACTAAACACGTCTTGTCATTGTGAGCTCACACATTTTGTTTGTCCCTCAGATGCTCCACTTCGCTGATGGGGAGAGGCATAAGTTTGTTGAGGTTCAGATCCTTGATGACGTCATCCCAGAGGGAGCTGAAAGGTTCCAGCTGATTCTGGCTAATCCATCGTCTGGGCTGGAGCTGGGAGACAATACCACAGGTAGGATGTGCTGGAAGCCTGTAGCATCATGCATGTTCACTACACATGTTTTATATTGTATTTTATTGAAGGCCATCTTTGTATAGTCTATGTACCTATGGTTTCACAGACATTGTTCATTGATTTCACAAGAATTGACAAGTGCCCTGGTGAAAAATGCTCTCCCTGTCTCCCCTGTCCCATGTCTCCATAGCCATGGTGAGCATCTTGGCCAGCGACGACGGCCATGGTGTCATTTCCTTCAACAGCAGCCAGCACTTCCTGTTAAGGGAACCCACCTCGGTGTCTGGGCTGGGGGAGAGCGTGGCCACCCTGTATGTGGTGCGTGACCCACCCCAGGGCACCTTCGGCACCGTCAACGTCCAGTTCACCATCACAGATGCCAACGAAACGCTGGCCCAGGACGACCTCATGCCCTGGCAGGGCATTGTTGAGCTGGAGGATGGAGTCAGGTTCAAGGTGAGGGGGACCATGGACTTCAGTCAGTCTAGAAGATATACAGGAGAACTGATTGAAGATATATTGGAGAATTGAGAATAGATTGAATTGATATATAGGCAAGGGCAAGAATATTTTATGGATGTGTTTCAGTACTTTTAAAGTCAAGGGAGCCTGTAAAGCCCTTTATATCTCATTTTGACATTCTCTGATGTTCCTGTGTGATGTGATGTTCTAGACTCTGGAAATCTGGGCGGTTCTGGATGCTGAGCCCGAGGTGAACGAGACGTTCACGGTAACTCTGTCCAGTCCAACGGGAGGGGCGCGGCTTGGAGACACACTCCACACACTCATCACCGTGCTACAGAACTCCGCCCCGTTAGGCCTCTTCCGCATCGCACCCTCCCTCAATAGGTGAGCATGGGATCACACACACATGCAAGCACACAAACGCACATTTGCAAGCACAAACACATGCGTGCACACACACACATGCAAGTATGTATGCATGCACACACATACACTCACACATGTACGTCTATCTCTGCAGGACTGACAGCTCTGTGGTGGGGGAGGAGGGTGGTAGGACCGTGTTCTTGACCGTGTCCCGCAGTAACGGTCTAGAGGCAGCGGTCAGTGTGGAGTGGGAGACCCAGTCGGACACAGCCATTGCCATGGGTAACAGTTAATATCATTACATCCACACTACACAATCCAGTGGCAATTTCCGTTCCGAGTCTGTGTTCACGTGTTTACCATGATATACAGTGATTATACTACTCTATTTTCAGAGGGGAATCTTCCAGTGATGGCAGTGTATCAGATCTTCCCAGAGACCCCCACCTCAAGCTGGTGTTCCCTGGCTGAGGGCGCCTCTCCTCTAGCCATGAGGTTGGACAGGCCCTCCCCTGGCGGCTCCACCCAGACCCGCGCCACTCTGTACAGGTGGCAGGGGGTGTTGGTGCCTATACAGGTAATCTAGTTCAAGTTCAGTTTTTTTTACTAACCACATTGCAGTCATAGACAATGAAATACATGGATATGGACTAACATCAGAAAATAAACAATTACACATCATTTAGATGAGAAGACTCAAAGGATCTTATTCATTAGGTGGCAGAGGTAGGGTATTTGTTGTTTCAGTCCTGGTGTGTGGAACAGAGAGGAGGTGCGTGCTGCGGGTGGTTCTGCCTATCACTTCTCCTCTACAGGCAGTTAACCAGTCACAGAAAGGGGACTTGTAGAGAGATATGTACTTCATCTGAACATTAGCTTATGTGTAGAGTCAGAGATCAAAGGTCAAACTGCATAGTTGAACTACATAGGAGGCAAAGAAGGAAGAAGGGGTAGGAATGAACATGGGAAGGAAAACATAAACCACCAACCCATAATGCTTTTAGGTAACTGCCTTACTTTGTGTTGCATCCACATATGCATAAGTCAATATCATGATCACTCATGATCGCAAATGTATGATGTCTCTCTCTCTTCCTCTCTCTCTCTCTCTCTCTCTCTCTCTCTCTCGCTCTCTCTCTCTCTCTCTCTCTCTCTCTCTCTCTCGCTCTCTGAATCTCTTGTGTTTTCAGTCGGTGAGGATCCAGGACCCTAGTGTGTGTGTGGGCTTCTCTGTGAACGGCTCGTCCTATGTAGCGATCACACACGGAGGCCACTCGGACTCCCCTGCTGTCAACCTCAGCCTGTTCAGAGTGCAGCCGGACCTCAACCTTACACTGGTGAAGCCCCTCACTTCTTTGGCTTGACCGTTGTCTATTCATTTGGGGTCCTAATGATTTGTTTTCTACCTGTTAAGATGATGCAAGATCTACATAGTAATCAATCACTCATTGGCCTTATGTTCCTATGATAAGTTCTTTATGACAGGCACTCAATGGCAGTGGCATTATGTTGAGTATTGTATTAATTTCATTCAAATTCAAACATTTCCCCCTAGGAACAAACGTTGGCTGTTGAAGCTCTTGATGTCAAACACTTCTCCGTTGAAAAAAGAGACTACTTGATTGCCTCGAGCCTGGTGAGTTTGGAGGGTAAAATGAACATGACTTGCCATAACCTGTGAGGCATACCGGTACAGTACTACACAGGTGTCATAGATCATGATATCCTCATGCACCACATTACTATTGTCATTCAAATCAAAACGCCCAATGGATAGAGTTCACACCACCTGGAGTTGATTTTGACCAGCTAGTAGCTAACTCTTCCTGTTTCTACCAGGTGTTCGTTCGGACTGGAAGTACCTTTTCTGTCCATCAGAGCCTGGAGCTTCAGGGTGTCCTCAGTGTGTCTCTGTTCTCCCACGGGACCAGTCTCTACCTGGCTGCCTGTGTGGGGAGAGAGACTGAGGATGCCTGTGTACTGTTCCAGTGGAGTGAAGGACACTTCCAGAACCCCAGGCCTCTGCCTGTCAGCAGCAGAGCTCAACAAGTGGAGTCCCTCACCATGGGAGCAGACATTCTCCTATTGGTCGTCACTGAAGGTGACCTCACGTGACCTCCTCTACGAACCATGCCCTTTGTAACCTCTGTATTTGTGTTTGCAATCAATGATCTTCTATGTTGACGTTTTGCTACAGGGCCATTTTGTTGTCACTCAGTGTGCTCTGTAATGGAGTATGTGGTGCAGAGATGGTGTACTCCAGTTATGATACGTAAGGCATAGTTCATGTGTCCTCAGTCCACTGAAGACAAAACATGATCTGTATGCACAGATGGGAGGGAGTAAGGCGCCAAAAGTCCTAATGTATATTGGAGCATGTATTTATGGATGTTTTGATGAAACACCAAGGACCACTATCCACATAAGTGAAGTAGGGAGGCTCTATGCTGTGAGTTTACTGGACGGCTCACAGTAATAGGCCATAGGGAAACCACAGGCAGGCTCAGGGGGTGTAATTTATAGTAGTTGGGTGTGTCAGCCTGGCCCATGCTTAACATAACCGCCTCGTGAAAGAATAGAGTGCCAACATAAAGCTCTGTGTGCGTGTGTGGGTGGGTGCGTTCATCCGTGTTCCTATCCTCAGGTTCCCCTCCCTCCTGTGAGGTGTTTGTATGGGGACCCCAGCAGCAGTTCCCCCAGCACAGCCAGTCTATCCCCCACCCTGGCCTGGGCTCTGTCCACCCCTTCACCCTACCCTCAGGGATCAGTGAGTACACGCACACACACTGATGGTCAACTTTCTTCACACGGGTCAACTCAGAGACCCTTAAGTATTATCGTTCAATCAATATTATCAGAGTTGCCACTGATTATGACGATCATGAAGATGGTGATGACAATGATGATTATAATGATGATTATAATGATGATTATAATGATGATTATAATGACGACAACCATGTTAATTCAAAGACACCTAAGTACGTGATGCTTATTCAAAGCAACTTACAGTCATGCGCGCATTTTATGTATGGGTGGTCTTGGGAATTGAACCCACTACTCTGGCATTACAAGTGCCTTGCTTTACCAACTGAGCTACAAAGGACCATTTATTCTCAATGACAACTCTTTAACATTTGTAGTCTTATCCCGGTTTCACCACTAAAGATCTGTCTCTGTTTCTCCCTCTGTGTCTCTCTTAGCCCATGTCCTGCTGGCGGGGAGGAATGGCTCAGCGCTGTACTCCTGGAGGTCTGACATCAGCCTGTTTGCCATGGTGCTCAGGTCTCCTCCAGCCTCTCACTTCCTCTCTCTCCCTCTCCCCTACTTCAACACCACCAAGAGCCTCATAGCAGCCACCGAGCCCTCAGGCTCCACCCTGTATGAGCTCACCACGGTCTCCAACCACTCTGACTACATACCCAGGTACGTATGTGCCCCACTGTTCCCACGCTAACCCATCACATTCTGACCAGAGGTATTGATCATTAGTTTGATCAGACTTTGTGCAAATAGTCATTTGCGTTGTTTCGTTGTCACATGAGTCTGTTGTTGCTCCCCCTTCGTTCTTCGTGGTTGTCTTCTCTGACCATTGTCCGTTTGCTCTCTGCCGCCACACTCTCAGCTATGGCGAGTTGCGTTTCGCGCCCGGTGACCGGGAGATGGAGATTGCGGTGAACATCATCGACGACGATGCCCCGGAGGAGGAAGAACAGTTCCGGGTGGGCCTGAAAAATCCCAAGGGAGGGGCTGAGATTGGCTTTGGTGGTCAGATGACCGTGCTTATTCCAACCAATGACGACGCCTATGGAGTCATAGGCTTCGCACAGGTATCCTCCTCTGTTGCTTAACTGTGATTCACAGTGCATTTCAAATTAGGTTTTTGTCACTTGCATTTATATATTTATAAATATATATGTGTTCATGTTTTTGTTAATTGGTGTTCCAATACATTTGAATGGTAAAATCTCTATGATATTACACACTGATGTTGCCTGTCTCCAGGCCTCTCTAACTGTGGAAGTAGAGGAGTTGGCGCAGAGCAACCCTATCTCTCTGAGTGTTGAGAGGAGGAGAGGGACCTTCGGCAGACTGACCGTCCACTGGGCAGCCAACGGCAGTCTGGAAGACATCTTTCCCACGTCAGGAGTGGTGAGGCTCTCTCTCTGTCTTATCTCTTTCACTGTTAACTTAGAGAAAATGTAGAAAGAGAGAAATAGAATAAATACAAAACAACTTATTGATGTGAAATTTACAATTTAGTTCATTAGTTCATTGGTTTTGAATTAACTTCCTGGATTGGCTGAGCTACAGAGGAACTGACATCATCCACCCTCAACTGTTCTCGATCTCAGGTGACGTTTTCTGAGGGCCAGGTGGTGGCTACCATCTTTATGACCGTGGTAGTGGACAGCGTTCCTGAGCTGAGGGAGAGGGTCACCCTTACCCTTATGGATGTCACCACGGTGGGCCTAGACCAGCCCTCCAGGGGGGCGCTCATTGACCCACAGAGGGCACAGGCCCTCCTCACCATCCTGCCCAACGGCTCGCCCTACGGGGTGATAGGCTGGCACCTGGACTCCCAGTACCTCCACACACAGGAGCCCCAGAGTAAGAGGCCAGCTGTTTAGATTGACTTAAAAATATATATATATTAATGTATTCATACAGGTAAAAAATATGTTCAAATGTGGATAGTTAAGAACAATACATATACAAACATCTTACACATCAAGGACAACAAAAAGCCATATTTGAACCATGTCTACTTTTAAAGCTACTGAAGTGTTTGGTTACTTGTCTAAAGTGTATGGTAGGTTGTAATGAGTGGTCACAACTTGATTTGACAAGCGCTATGACATTGGTAGGACAAATTTCTACTCCTTATCCAAATAGTTTCTGTCCTTGCGCAGGCTGTAAGGTTTACGTCTGTTGCCTAACGCTCCTTGTCCTTGTTTGCCTCTGCTTTCACCTCAGAAAGTCCCACTAACGTCACCCTCACCATTGTGAGAGAGCAGGGAGCATCTGGGGAGGTGGCAGTGCACTACCAGACCAGACCGGCCCTGTCCCGGCCCCCCTCCAACCAGGCCAGCGCCCCACAGGACTACACACCCCGGGAGGACACCGTCATCATGAAGGAGCATGCCACCGTGGCCCTCGTCACCATCACTATCCTGCCGGTACGAAAATAATACAATATTACTTTATCGACAAACAATCACCAAGTGTCATCCTGGGACGCCTGAGGACAGTACGGTAGAATCCGCTCTACTTTCCCCTCTTTTCCTCTCCTCTTCTGTCCTCTCTTTACCTCTCCTCTCCCACCCAAGCAGTGTGGTTCTAGATTGGTTCAGCAGACACCCGGGCTTTCTGCCTGTTCTGGGTGTTTTCTGCCTACAGCTAAGATCCATACCAGGCCTAAAACCACCAGTGCTGGGCCTGCCACCGAGGAAACCCACTACTTATCTCCCGTCACCCCAGAATAGATCCGGTCCCAGTAAATTGCAGTGCTGAGTCGCTATTTTAACCTCCACTAATGTTAACTATTATTGTGTTTTGTTTAGACTGAGAGGAAGCTTGAAAACAAGGAATTGATTTCTATGTGCTCTCAAACTGCCAGCATTTATTAAGGTGGTTTTTGAGAGTAAGTGGAACAAGGACATGCTTAGTAGTTCATTTCTGTGGGTTGTGTGTGTGTGTGTGTTTGTGTGTGTGTGTGTGTGTGTGCATGCGTGCATGTGTGCGAATGCGTGCGTGCATGTGAATGCGCACTTGCGTATCCCCAGGACGAGGCTCCGGAGCTGGCTGAGAGTTTCCTGGTGAACATCACAGGCGTGGAGCTGGTGGGGGGGTTGACAGGGGCGGGCCAGCCCAGTGTGAAGAGGCCTGGCATGGAGGTGGCTGAGGTCACTATCCAGGAGAACGACGACCCACGGGGGGTCCTGCAGTTCAGCGTTTCACAGGTCAACCAGAAAAAACATTACACTACTCCCTCCTCATACGTTAGCAATGCTGCTGAAGTATAACACTCCATTCCTTTCTATAGTGTCTCACAACACATTACAACAGTAACTACATGATGCTAGGGTTTAGAGATGATCTGAAAGCTCTATCCAAAGAATGAATAAATACAAATAGGTATTTTAACCCTATTCAAGTGTTAATGCTTCAACAATGTTTCTGTATCGGCTTCTTAGGAAGAGTCCGGAGGGGTCCTGGCCTATGAGGTGCCCCCGCCCGGGAACCTCCTCCGCCTACCTGTGGTGCGATTGGCTGGCAGGACTGGGAGAGTGGTGGTGTACTGGGAGGCTCAGACAATCACTGCCAGCCTCAATGACTTCATTCCTGCTTCTGGGAATATCACCTTTCAAGATGGCCAGGTAATGTGATTAAAACTAGGGCCAGAGAGTTTCTCCGGTTAGGTTACGTAGTTAGTTAAGTTAGGTCACTCTCACTATGATCCACTCGGTCTAGTTGAGCTTCTATGAAGAATAAGTGGCTTGTATTCCTCAGGTAAAAAACTCTGGTTCTGTTTGCAGGGAGAAGCCTTTATTGACATCAGCATCATGGATGACACAGAGGTGGAGTCTGCAGAGCGCTTCGGTGTGACTCTAATGCGTGTGATTGGTGGAGCCAGACTGGGCGAGAGGACCTCTGTGACCATCACCATCCCCCCCAACGATTCACCGCTGGGCCACTTTGGCTTCCAAGAGCAGACTGTGAGAGACCCAACATATTTCCCTACAAAGGATGAATACAGTTGTATTACCCAATCAAATACAACTTTATTATAAACCATTATTATGCTAAACAAACTAATCTCCTTTCAGGTCACTATCAGTGAGCCAGCGTTCACTAGTGACCCAGCTGCCATGGCAACGCTGACAGTGTTGCGCAGTGCGGGAGGAGAGGGGGCGGTGACACTGGTGTGGCGCCTGGAGGACGCGGCCCGGGATGACCTTTCACCTCTCAACGGAACACTGGTCTTCAGTGAGGTCAGTAGGGGGTGGGGCTAGGGTGGCCAAAGGGGAAGATTTGAGCAAGTCAGTTGACAATGTTTTGCTCTGCTTGGTAATAATTGATGCTAAATGTACAGTAGTTTGTTGAGAAGACACTGATGTGAGACTTTGTGAACCTCAGACAGAGTTGAGGAAAACGTTGGGGATCCGGGCTCTGGCTGACGCTTTGTTGGAGGGAGACGAGAGCTTCAATATCCAGCTCCTGGCTGCCAAGAGTGGTGCTGTCATCGACCCCATTAACGGTCAGTATCTTTGGGCTTCCTCACTGTGTTTAAACACACATACAGTCTCTGGTCTATGGAGAGGGGAGGAATGAATTTGCCCCTAGAAGCTGATCTGAGATCAGTTTGTCATTTTCAATCCTAATGGTTACAGTTAGGATTGGGGGAGAGTAAGCTGGTTCTAGATCTGTCCCTAGAGGCAACCTCTACCTGGGGTGTGTATAAGGAGCACCAGTGAAGGGCATTAGACTGAACTGTGTCCCCTGGGTTGGTGTGTGTCTTTAGGGTTGGCCACCATCACCATCCAGGGAGACCGTGCAGCCCTGGGAATGGTGGGCATCGCTGAGGCTTCCAGGAACGTCCTGATAGGAGAACCTCAGGGAAACTATAATGGGACTGCTTTGATCAGGTACATTTAGCTAAATTTCCTTTCGTAAGATAGCTGGGGGCAAAGTCATTCATATTCATGAGTTACGTCAGGTGATTAGTTAATCCTTCTGGGTGGGTGTGATGTCACAGGGATGCGCTTGAGGAGGAATAATGGTCTGGGGCTCTTTTTTTCATGGTTCGGGCTAGGCCCCTTATTTCCAGTGAAGGGAAATCTTAACGCTACAGCATACAATGACATTCTAGACGATTATGTGCTTCCAACTTTGTGGCAACAGTTTAGGAAAGGCCCTTTCCTGTTTCAGCATGACAATGCCCCCGTGCACAAAGCGAGGTCCATACAGAAATGGTTTGTCGAGATCGGTGTGGAAGAACTTGACTGGCCTGCACAGAGCCCTCAACCCCAACGAACACCTTTGGGATGAATTGGAACGCAGACTGCGAGCCAGTCCTAATCGCCCAACATCAGTGCCAGACCTCACTAATGCTCTTGTGGCTGAATGGAAGCAAGTCCCCGCAGCAATGTTCCAACAAAAATAAATAATAAATAATGTATGCACTCACTAACTGTAAGTCGCTCTGGATAAGAGCGTCTGCTAAATGACTAAAATGTAAATGTAAATGTAGTGGAAAGCCTTCCCAGAAGAGTGGAGGCTGTTATAGCATCAAAGTGGGGACCAACTCCATATTAATGCCAAGGGGGACCAACAATGAGATGTTCGACGAGCAGGTGTCCACATACCTTTGGTCATGTAGTGTAGCTACATTTCAGTCAATAGCTATCCTTCTAAATGCTGTGGTCACAGCGTTGCTAGCTGAGCTGTTTATAAGAAATTGGCTGATGTGACTCAAACCCTGTAGCTAGCTAACAAGCCCTCCTCTGCGACAAAGTTAGGTTGCGGGAATATTAGATATGTATTTTGATTTTAAGATAACTGTCATTGAAGTTGGTGGTTACTACTGATTTTAGGGTTATCACTAATTACCACAGCTACAAGGTCAAGTTTTAGATCCTAGGTTTGTGTTTTGGTAAGGGCTCGGAGTGATGTCACGCCCCCTATAAGGCTCAACCAATCACCCAATGGATAATAATGACTTTGCCTCAGGCTATCCTACGAAAGGGAATTCCGCGTGCAGTTACACACACATATCACTGCTAAGGGGGAAGCCTCTTTGTAAAGCACATTTTGTTCATGGGACATAATATTGCTGTTGTGCTATTGAGAAAAGCATACTCTTATTTTGGTTGATAAGAGGTCAATGAAATGTATGTTGTAATGATGAAGTTCTGTGTGTGCGCGTGCACGTGCGTTCGTGCGTGTGTTGTAGCCTTGTTCGAGGCCCAGGCATCTTCGGAGAGATCCAGGTGTACTGGAACATCACTCCTGCTGTGGCCTCTGAGTTTGAGGAGCTGTCTGGTGTGGTGACCATGCGAGACAGACAGTCTGCAGCCACCATCCGCCTTAAGGTATGACAACCACATTTAACGCATATGCTGTCCGTCTCTGACTATGGAATATATTCATCACTGTGATCTTATCTTATCTTAACATACAGTATCTTATGTTATTGTACCTCATCCTATTAGGAAGTGAAAATGAATGCAAAATGAATATTTCCCAATACATCTGTGAAACTGAATACTAGTGTGAAGTGATGTAGCCTATCGGCCATTCATTTTCAATAGTATCTTAGTGTGGATGTTGGGACAGAGGCTGAAGGGAGTGGTGTTTGTTGTTGCTGTTTCAGGCGCTGGATGATGACACGGCGGAGGAGCGGCGTGTGTACCAGCTGACCCTGACTTCAGTCACGCCAGGGGCGGAGATCAGCCCCTCGGCCCAGTGGGCCACAGTCACCATGGCAGCCAGTGACCTCCCCTACGGCCTGTTCTCCTTCCCCCAGGGCCTCGTCAGGGCCTCTGAGGAGGAGGGCAAGGTGAGAGAGCCAGGACAGTCCGGGGCCATGATCAAAAACATCCACCGTGTTGAAATGCGCTAGAGGACGTCTACATGACTATTGCTGCCCTATCAGAGCCTGAGAACAGGCTGACCTGTCCTATCCGAGGGAGGGCGGGTAAGGGAGGGCGAGATTAGGGAGGGAGTGAGGGATCAATAGAGTGGTTGAAAGTCAGAAGTGGCATGAAAGTCATTCGGCTTACTATGATGCAGCCTTGACAAATTGCCATTCAGTTGATGATATGGCCGCCTGCTTCCCCCCCCCCCACCCTTCTCTCCCTTCTCTTCTCAGGTCAATGTGACAGTGGTGCGTTCCATGGGCACGTTTGGGAGTGTGTGGGTGACCTACCAGACAGCAGGCAGTGTAGCGGTCAGTGGAGTGGACTTCACCGAGGCCTCGGGGAGCCTGCTTTTCAGCCCAGGCCAGACCACACGTGATGTCACATTGAGTATCGATGATGACGACCTCCCAGAGGGGCCTGAGGAGTTCTACCTCAACATCACCACAGTGGAGCTCCTCAATGACAGGTAGGTGGACCCTAGACACTAATCTAGAGTCAGTTCTGAGGTTTCTCCCCCCAGTTAAGATTAGAAGTGTTGGGGAGGGAAAGCTGATCCTAGATCTGTTCCTGTTGGTGTGGGGTTTTGGGGTATGAGTGGGAGGAGAATCCCAACCTTGGTCAATAATTTAATGACCTCTGTCACCCTCCTGTGATCAGTACTGTGAACTTCACTGTAAGCGTGGAAGGTGTTGGTCTCTGGGGTGCGAGTGGTGTAATGGAGGGTAAACGCACGTAAACACTGTTTACCTACCTTTTGCAGAAAAATGCATTGAAAGTATAGAGAGTGTTACTTTATTCACTGCGAACTGCAATCAGCATCTACCCACTTATTTTTTGGACTGTTGTGTTGTCTCTGACCTCTGTCGCCCTCCTGTGGTCAGTACTGTGGAATTCAGCGTGAGGGAGCATGGCCTGCAACGAGACCAGCCTCCAGCCATCGGCAACATCTCCTCCATCATGATCGTCATCCAGAAGAATGACAACGCTGAGGGTATTCTGGAGTTCCTCCCTGACTATGTCAACATCACAGGTCAGCCTCTAAGCCTCTAACACGTTGACACTATTCAACATAGCTATTAGAACATAAGGCATCACTTTAGGAAATGTCATCTCATCCTTTTAATATGACGTGAATATGCATAATAGAGGGATTCTGAGGGTGGTGATTGGATGAATGCAATAGGAAAGGAGTACTACAGTAAATGCAGTGTTACATTTGACATATGTGACTGAATTCAGGAAGGTGAACCTATGTCAAATGTTCAAGATTGGCTTTTTTCACATTTTATATAAATACAGACTCAGAGCTTCAAAATGATATATAATACACTGCAGTTGAGGGAAACATGGGAAAGTGATGCTTCTTTGAAATTTGAGACACTTGTTATTCCACTTTGGAGACAAGTAGGAGAACAATGACGTTCACACCCTCTTAAGCCTTAGTCACACCTGTCTCTTTAATAATTCAAATGTCACCGCATGAGTCAACATGGTATTGTCCTTCAGAAAGTAGTGTCCCTATTATTCCCCTCCATTATCTCAGCCAATCATGGATCCTGCCTTTCTCCCTATAGCTCGTCATTATTTAGTTTCATTCATATTTACCAGTGGAGGCTCCTCAGAGGAGGAAGGTTAGGACCATCCTCCTCAGTGAATTTCATAACAATACAAATATTGAAACATTTAAAAAGTGATCCTTTTTAGGTCAAACTATACTAAATATATTCCATGTCACCAAATAATTGATTACAACACACTGTTTTGCAATGACGGTCTACAGTAGCCTCAGCAGTACTCTGTAGGGTAGCACCATGGTGTAGCCGGAGGACAGCTAGCTTCTGTCCTCCTCTGGGTACATTGACTTCAATACAAAACCTAGGAGGCTCTTGGTTCTCACCCCCTTCCATAGACTTACACAGTAATTATGACAACTTCCGGAGGACGTCCTCCAACCTATCAGAGCTCTTGCAGCATGAACTGACATGTTGTCCACCTAACCAAAGGATCAAAGAAAGAATCTAGTACTGAAAGCATAAGCTATAGCTAGCTAGCAATGCAGTACATAAAATGTGGTGATGAGTTGACTCAAAGAGAGAGAAAGACAATAGTTGAACAGTTTTTAACAAATTAATTTCTTCCAAAATTAAGGAGAAGCAGGAGAGAGAGAGAGCTAGCTATTTTTGGTATGTATTTTTTTTAACTTTCACTAAATGCAGCTAGCTAGTTTAGCCTACTCAAACACCTGGCTCAAACAGAGAGGGATGCTGTTAGCTAGCTAGATATGGCTATCCAACACAGGAACTCTTCCAAGTCACAGTAAGCTTTTGGTTTTATTAATTCGTTGCCACCGGGGCCCGCCGTGTGTAACTGGTAAACTGCTTTCTGACTGTACTCTGTAATGCATGATTGTGGCGGGTTTACTAACATGTTAGTTCTAGTAACTACAGTATGTTGACTATGAGGTGACAATGATGTAGGCTGTGCATAGTGCTTAGCAGTCATGATATGAAGGTTTGGCTTGGAAAGATTTTTTCGCCTGGTCACAGACAGCTGATGTGTCATCCACTGAAGTCCACAAGCGAAGGGAAAAGATGAGAGGAGGAGAGTGCGTAGATAGTTGCTAGAAATAATTATATATACAAGGAGCAAAGTGATCGTGTTGTTTTTATATGGCTGCTATGAAAGTGAACTGTGTTTGCGTCTGATCAGGGGTGTATTCATTCAGCCGATTCTGTTGAATTTTTTTTCTTAAACTGAAGCAAACGGAACGGGGATAAACATACCTGAACTTGTCCAATATAAACTCTCATTTGCAACTGTTGGACTAATGATTACACCCTAGATCAGCTAGATGCAGGTAAGAGTGTGCAAGGCGGTATTGAATATGTCACTGTCTGTCACCTTGATTACTCAAAATGCTCTCGACCTGTGCAGCTACATTGTAAACTTTCATTCATAGGCTAGGTTGTAGCGACTTCATGATGGGTACAGGTAAAATTAGAGTATCATGTAGTATCCGAAACCTATCGATGTTACATTGAGCTGGGTGAATGGAATATGAATGACAGTCATCCAATACGCTGTAATAGAAATACAGTGGGGGAAAAAAGTATTTAGTCAGCCACCAATTGTGCAAGTTCTCCCACTTAAAAAGATGAGAGAGGCCTGTAATTTTCATCATAGGTACACGTCAACTATGACAGACAAAATGAGAAAACAAAATACAGAAAATCACATTGTAGGATTTTTTATGAATTTATTTGCAAATGATGGTGGAAAATAAGTATTTGGTCACCTACAAACAAGCAAGATTTCTGGCTCTCACGGACCTGTAACTTCTTCTTTAAGAGGCTCCTCTGTCCTCCACTCGTTACCTGTATTAATGGCATCTGTTTGAACTTGTTATCAGTATAAAAGACACCTGTCCACAACCTCAAACAGTCACACTCCAAACTCCACTATGGCCAAGACCAAAGAGCTGTCAAAGGACACCAGAAACAAAATTGTAGACCTGCACCAGGCTGGGAAGACTGAATCTGCAATAGGTAAGCAGCTTGGTTTGAAGAAATCAATTGTGGGAGCAATTATTAGGAAATAGAAGACATACAAGACCACTGATAATCTCCCTCGATCTGGTGCTCCACGCAAGATCTCACCCCGTGGGGTCAAAATGATCACAAGAACGGTGAGCAAAAATCCCAGAACCACACGGGGGGACCTAGTGAATGACCTGCAGAGAGCTGGGACCAAAGTAACAAAGCCTACCATCAGTAACACACTACGCCGCCAGGGACTCAAATCCTGCAGTGCCAGACGTGTCCCCCTGCTTAAGCCAGTACATGTCCAGGCCCGTCTGAAGTTTGCTAGAGTGTATTTGGATGATCCAGAAGAGGATTGTGAGAATGTCATATGGTCAGATGAAACCAAAATAGAACTTTTTGGTAAAAACTCAACTCGTCGTGTTTGGAGGACAAAGAATGCTGAGTTGCATCCAAAGAACACCATACCTACTGTGAAGTATGGGGGTGGAAACATCATGCTTTGGGGCTGTCTTTCTGCAAAGGGACCAGGACGACTGATCCGTGTAAAGGAAAGAATGAATGGGGCCATGTATCGTGAGATTTTGAGTGAAAACCTCCTTCCATCAGCAAGGGCATTGAAGATGAAACGTGGCTGGGTCTTTCAGCATGACAATGATCCCAAACACACCGCCCGGGCAACGAAGGAGTGGCTTCGTAAGAAGCATTTCAAGGTCCTGGAGTGGCCTAGCCAGTCTCCAGATCTCAACCCCATAGAAAATCTTTGGAGGGAGTTGAAAGTCTGTGTTGCCCAGCGACAGCCCCAAAACATCACTGCTCTAGAGGAGATCTGCATGGAGGAATGGGCCAAAATACCAGCAACAGTGTGTGAAAACCTTGTGAAGACTTACAGAAAACGTTTGACCTGTGTCATTGCCAACAAAGGGTATATAACAAAGTATTGAGAAACTTTTGTTATTGACCAAATACTTATTTTCCACCATAATTTGCAAATAAATTCATTAAAAATCCTACAATGTGATTTTCTGGATTTCTTTTTCTCATTTTGTCTGTCATAGTTGACGTGTACCTATGATGAAAATTACAGGCCTCTCTCATCTTTTTAAGTGGGAGAACTTGCACAATTGGTGGCTGACGAAATACTTTTTTCCCCCACTGTAAGGCCATGCTCGTTTAGAAAAAATCATCCTCCCTCATCTTAAATGGCCCCGACAGCCACTGATATTTACAGATCCCATACAAGTTTGTAAAGGCATTTCTGCTAAAAGAAATACAAAAAAATTCAAATGGACACATATTGGCTCAGTTTAAAATGGCACCCTATGGTCCTGCGGACAGGGGCGTCATTTCAGCTAAACCTAGGGTATGGCAAAGTGTCGTCATCAGTCTCTTTTTCTTTTTCAAGTGTTCTACTCTGCTAGCCAGTACTTTGCCTAAAACAGGTGTGCATTTCTTCCGCCTCTAGCACTAACACACTTGATTCAACTACTCAACTCATCCTTAAGCCTTTGATTTTAATCAGGTGTGTTACCAGGATTGAGAAACACTGCCCTATATAGTGCACTACTTTTGACCAGAGCCCCGTAGGTGCCATTTCACTCTACTGTGTCCTCTTCTCTCCTTTCTGTTGTCTCCAGTGGAGGAGGATGTGGGCAGTGTGTCTATTCTGGTGGTGAGGAGGGTGGGTTACTACGGCCTGGTCACGGCAGATTACATATCCAGGGGCCTGACGGCCAGCCCCGGCCTGGACTACAGCCTGGCCAACGGCTCGCTCACCTTCCTCCACGGCCACAACACCAGTCACATCAACGTGACCATCATAGATGACCAGGACAGGTGAGTCGGTCTGTCTGTCTGTCTGTGTCACGGTTTCGGCCGAGGCTGCTCCTTCTCCTTGTTCGGGCAGGCTTCGGCGGTCGTCGTCTCCGGAGTACTAGCTGCCACCGTTCTATGTTTCATGTTCGTTTGGTTTTGTCTCTTTGTAACACCTGTCCCTTGTTTGTGTTTGATTGTGTTCCCTATTTAGTTTCGTGTGTTTGGGTCAGGTGTTATGCGTGATTGTTTATTTGTCAGCCTGCCTCCGAGGAGTTTGTATCTCTCGTTGTTGTATTTTTCGAGAGTTCGCACTGCGTGCGCTTTTCTTGTTTTTTCCGCACTGTGTTTGTGCGTAATTGTTCGCGCCGCCCGGTTGGGTTGGCGACTCATTGTTCCTGTGTTGGACCTTACTAAAGTCTGTTGAAGTCATCCTTGTTCCTGCGCTTGATTCCTTTCACTCATCCACACACAGCACTCTGACAGTCTGATCACCTAGGCCTGCTGCTCTGCTAATCACCTATATACTGTTGATGTTGTCCTCTCCCAGGCACAAATTCTCTGGAGTAAAGTTGAATAGTTTTGACATGATGAAGTGATTTATTTGCTTTGGTACCTGGATTGTGTCGTTCTTTGATCATGGTATTGCTGCACATAGAAATTGTTTGATAATTCTACTATGATGCCGGATGGGTATAACTGTTGTGAAAGAGGTGTAAAGCCCGGTTCATATACAACAGCCGAGGCGAGACGGTTTCATGCAGTTTTAGAACAAAGTTTGCTTGATCTGAACGTTCTAGTTTTAGAATGCCTCATGTCGGCTGCTGGCGTTTCCAACGTTCAACATGTCAAATCTTAGCAAAAGACTTGCGACGAGACGGATCAGAGAACAGTGTGCTGAAGTTCTGTGTTTAACCAAGCAGACAGCTAGCCAACTATTCTGCTGCAGTTAGCTTGCTGATATTTCTCTGACAAGTCACAACCATAGAGAATGATGGAGGCCTCTAGTGGCCAAAAGGCTGTTTTAGCATGGGCAGCGCCATTGAGGGCTAAAGTTCAATGTGTTTCCATCGCATTTTCAACTCTACCGATAGTTTTGTCACAAAAACTGTTGCGTTAAATAACAAATGTGCCTACTCTGGTCATGGAATCTGCGCTCTAGCCAACAGCTCGCAGATACAGTGTGGGTAGGCTGTGCGGGTAGGCTGTGCGGGTAGGCTGTGCGGGTAGGCTAGTCTACATGATGAGATTATTATGGATAAGAGCGAGAATATGTTTATTTGTCAAACGGCAGTCAAGAGTTTCTATAAAAAAAAATATGTGAACATAGAGACACCAGTAATGAGCATGTCGGAACTCTTCTTCCAGAGAGTATGCCGAGATGTTTGAGATCCAGCTGTCCAGTGCCACGGGCGGAGCCATACTGGGGACTCATTTGGTCGCCAGTATTACCATCGCCAAGAGCGACTCACCCAACAGCGTGGTCCGTTTCCTGAACGAGAGCGTGATCACCCTGGTGAACCCCAACAGCACCCTGAGGCTCAGCCTGCTCCTGGAGAGGGTGGGCGGGCTAGTGGGCGACACTACGGTAAGCCTACTGGGACCGTCCCCTTCCTCTGTGTCTGGTCTCTCTCTCTCTCCCTCCTCTTGCTAGCACAGGAGGCTGGTGAGGGGAGGATGGCTCATAATAATGGCTAGAATGGAATGGTATCAAACACAAGGAAGCCATGTGTTCGATGTGTCAATATCATTACATTCATTACATTCCAGCCAGAATTCCAGCTATTACTATGAGCCTGTCCTCCCCAATTAAGGTGCCACCAGCCGCCTGTACTCGCTAGGCCTATAGACATCTAAGCAACTTTCGGGCCAGTTTCCCGGACACAGACTAAAATGTATGCTCAATGGAGAATCTCCAGTGAAAGTACTTTTTAGTTCAGGACGAGCCTGAATCTGTGTTCGGGAAACCGACCACTAGTGTATAACCACCATGATTTGTCTCTCTGACCCCGTAGTACAAGAGCATGTTCACCATCGTCATTTCTCTGCCAGATAGATGTCCATCACTCATTCTAAGTTGCTAAACTTAATGACACTGTAATGTTATTAGCCTACAGTGCCTTCAGAAAGTATTCACACCCCTTGACTTATTCCACATTTTGCTGTGTTACAGCCTGAATTTAAAATTGATTAATTGAGATTTTTTGTCACTGGCCTACACAAAGTGAAATTATGTTTGTCTTTTTTTAAATCTTTTTTTTTTAATGAAAAGCTGAAATGTCTTGAGTCAATAAGTATTCAACCCCTGTGTTATGGCAAGCGTAAATAAGTTAAGGAGAAAAAAAGTGCTTAACAAGTCACATAATAAGTTGCACTCTGTGTGCAATAATAGTGTTTAACATGATTGTTTAATGACTACCTCATCTCTATACCCCACACATACAAATATTAGTGTGAGTGAAAAGAAGAAAGCCTGTACAGAATACAAAAATTGTTTTCTTGGTGACTATGGTCCCAGCTGCCTTGAGATCATTGACAAGATCCTCCCGTGTAGTTCTGGGCTGATTCCTCACCGTTCTCATGATCATTGAAACTCCACGAGGTGAGATCTTGCGTGGAGCCCCAGGCCGAGGGAGATTGACAGTTATTTTGTGTTTCTTCCATTTGCAAATAATCGCACCAACTGTTGTCACCTTCTCACCAAGCTGCTTGGCGATGGTCTTGTAACCCATTCCAGCCTTGTGTAGGTCTACAATCTTGTCCCTGACATCCTTGGAATGCTCTTTGGTCTTGGCCATGGTGGAGAGTTTGGAATCTGATTGATTGATTGCTTCTGTGGACAGGTGTCTTTTATACAGGTAACAAGCTGAGATTAGGAGCACTCCCTTTAAGAGTGTGCTCCTAATCTCAGCTCGTTACCTGTATAAAAGACACCTGGGAGCCAGAAATCTTTCTGATTGAGAGGGGGTCAAATACTTATTTCCCTCATTAAAATGCAAATCAATTTCTAACATTTTTGACATGCGTTTTTCTGGATTTTTTTGTTGTTATTCTGTCTCTCACTGTTAAAATAAACCTACCATTAAAATTATAGACTGATCATTTCTTTGTCAGTGGGCAAACGTACAAAATCAGCAGGGGATCAAATACTTTTTTCCCTCACTGTACTAAAGTAATCCTGCAATAAATGTGGCAAAGCAATTAACTTTTTGTCCTAAATACAAAGTGTTATGTTTAGGGCAAATCCAATACAACACATTACTGAGTACCGCTCTCCATATTTTCAAGCACAGTGGTGGCTGCATCATGTTATGGGTATGCCTGTAATCGTTAAGGACTGGGGAGTTTTTCAGGATAAAAAAGAAAACGAATGGAGCTAAGCACAGGCAAAATCCTAGAGGAAAACCTGGTTCAGTCTGCTTTCCATCAGACACTGGGAGATGAATTCACCTTTCAGCAGGACAATAACCTAAAACACAAGGCCAAATCTACACTGGAGTTGCTTACCAAGAAGACAGTGAATGTTCCTGAGTGGCCGAGTTCAGTGGCGGCTCCTGAAAAAATTCTCAGGAGGGGCAATTTTTCTGATGATTTAGGTGACCTACACACATTTAAAAAAAGATATGTCCAGCAACAACATGAAGACAGGGGCAGCATATAAGTCAATACCAGAAGCATTTATTGACTGATCTGGGGAGATGGATTCCAGTTTCTGTGACAGATTATAAATAATCTCTGATGCCTTTGTTATATTAGCTTTTGGTTGAATGTACTGTCGTAGTAAATATATAATGTTATAGCTTGGTCTGACTAAAATCTTGTGCATGACCCATTTTGTGTTGGGCGTTTGTTTTCAATCAATGCTGTTCCTATCCTATAACAATGGACAAAAGAGTCCTATCTTGTCAGCCTTGTCAGCAGGTGGCCAAGGACAACACCCACGCCATAGGTCTCTCAGTTCTTCCAACTCACGAGTTCTTGCTCTGAGGACACACACACACACACACACACACACACACATCATCACTGATAACACACACACACACACACACATCATCACTGTTAAACACACACACACACACACACAAAAATCCCCTCTCTTTAGGCTGAACATTTGAAGACAGAGAACCCGACTCAGAGCCAATGCAACAGTGGAGGGGACCTCGCCCAACTCATCAGGACCAATCAGAAGATCAGAACTACTAGATTCAACCTACATCATTTATTGTATTAAATGTCTGCACAATGTTTTTGGGGCTCTCTTCAGATAGCTCCCTAAGAGTTTGACGAACGGGTCCGTGCACGCGATTCCAGATATCTTTACCTCTGAATAAACTGCCTTTATTATACCATATCCACCCTGTCCAAAGTCTCTACTTGGTCTCAGTTCTCCAGTAAACTTGTGATTATCAACAGTACACAACGGTAACAAACAATTGGGGGAACTCACGGGGCAGATAGTAAGGTCGCAGTGACACAGAAAGCAGTTCAATGTCGGGGTACAGAGTCGCTCTCTTACCAGGATCGCGGTCCGCTCTGACCAGGGTGAAGCCGGCCGGCTCCACTTCTCTGTCCGGGACTCTGTCATCCAGCCAAGTCTCCCAGCTGTATTGGATTCCGCTGCCAGCAGCGTTTTCATTATTTAGTCCGTTCGTAGCGGGTATGTACACGATCAACAAGATCAGTCCAAAACCAACCACTGGAAATCCATGGTTGGCAGAATGTTTGTAAACTAAGTCTACAAATTAAAAACATAAAATAACGCCACACTGCAGGTCGCAACAGAGACGCTGCTAGCCGCCATTTTCTTAGTTACGTTCATGGTTACGTCACGTATGACGAAAGCGCGTAAGTGCAAGCCCACAGACACCCATAGAGAATGTATTGAAAGCTTTGAAATTTGAAAAAAATAGATTTTACATGACAGGCTATGAGAGACTTCTGGGCGATTTTCAACCTGACTGAAATCGCCCCAAAAACGGGCGGGGCCATTTGAAGCACGACTTTAGCCTGATTTGACATTTAGTGGCAGTCAGATCAGATTACAACACTGATAACTACTGTTGCCGTGATATAATTGATTAGAAAAAAATCCCTTCCTTTTCCCGTTTGGCAGTGCGTCGCCCATATCGCCCTATTGAACAGGCCGTCCCTGGCCGAGTTACAGTTTTGACTTAAATCTACTTGAAAATCTATGGCAAGACCTGAAAATGGTAGTCTAGCAATGATCAGCAGCCAATTTGACAGAGCTTGAAGCATTTTGAAAAGAACAATGGGCACTAGTTGCACAATCCAGGTTTGGAAAGCTCTTAGAGACTTACACAGAAAGACTCACAACTGTAATCGCTGCCAAAGGTGCTTCTACAAAGTATGGACTCTAGGGTGTGAAAACTTATGTTAATGAGATATTTCTGTATTTCATGTTCAATAAACATTTCTAAAAACATATTTTCACTTTGTCATTTTGGGGTATTGTGTGTAGATTTGATTTGATTTGAGATGGTAAGAAAAAGAAATATTTAATTCATTTTGAATTCAGGCTGTAATACAAAATGTGGAATAAGTCAATATTATGGACAATGTGTTTTTCACAATGTGTTTTTCACAAATATTTGGTAAGTAATGTTAAATGTCTTTACAAGCATAAATTTGATGCATACCAGCCCATCTGAATAATTGATCTCCTTTCCTCAGATAACATGGAGCATGCTGGGTCCCAACACCAAAGAGGTCTTACCACCCGTAAACACAGACATTGGTGAACCCGTGAACGGATCGTTCCATTTCAGAGATGGGGAGGGGGGATTACGCATCATCGATCTGAGTATTCTCCCCCATGGGGAGGTGGAGGAGGCGGAGACCTTTGTAGTCATGCTTGAGCTCCTCTCAGGAGACGTGGACATTGACCCCCGAGCGGGCTCTGTCACGCTCAAGGTATGTCACCAACGAGTGACATCTCAATTTTAATATGAACCCCAGTTGTATTGAAACCATTATTGTATCATATTGAAATGACTTCACAGTCTCTTATTGATATTTAAGAGTCTCTGAGTCATGGTGATGGCGTGTCTTTGTCTCTGGGTTTGTGTGTCTGAATCTATATGTGTGTGTGTGTGTGTGTGTGTGTGTGTGTGTGTGTGTGTGTGTGTGTGTGTGTGTCTATATTCTACGTGTGTATCTGTCTCAGATTGAGAAGTTTGGTGACCCTAATGGCATAGTTCAGTTCACGGAGGAGGACCTCAGAGAGCGTGTGTACAGTGAGCCCACAGACAGCGAGGGGCCGCTCAACATCTCCCTCCTCATCATGCGCAGAGAGGGCGTCATGGGCAACATCACGGTAAGACCACCTCGGGGATGACATCGTACAGTTACAGCCAGCAATAGACTTTATAGGCAACGCTCAGGCTTTGAGTGTGTCCCTTTGTTTCATATGTGCTGGGAGAATGTAATGACAGTGCATGAAGTTTATAATAGACATGCACTGTCATTATTGTACAGCCAATTCCCAGGTATGTCATAGATGTGTGTGTGTCTCTCAGGTGCACTGGCAGATCCTGAGTGACTCTGACACATCGGGGGATTTCTCAGCCCTCAGCGGCTCCATGGTCATCCTGGAGGGTCAGAGGGGGGCAGAGGTGGTCCTCGCCCTGCTGCCCGACGCCGTGCCCGAGCTGGAGGAGCTCTACACGCTCAGGCTGAGTGCCGTAGAGGGCGGCGCCACCCTGGACGCCAACCGCAGTAGCACCCAACTCAGAGTGCGGGCCAACGATGAGCCCCACGGCTTGTTTGGGCTGGAGGCGGAGCAGCAGGCGGTGGTTGTGGCAGGGATGGGGGCTGGGCTGAGGAGACTCCTGACCCTGAACGTGACGCGCCAGGCTGGAGCCTTCGGCAACGCCAGTGTGGGCTACCGGATCAGTACTGGGCCTGGGCTGGATGGACAGGAGCTGCTGGGAGAGGCGGCTGTGGGGAGAGCCCTGGTCAAGGATGGGGAGGACTCAGCCTCTGTTTCTGTAACAATTAATAGTGAGGTAAGGGACCATTGGGGTCAGAGATAGTATACTCAAGACCAGGGTCTCCAATTTATTTATATGATTTATAACCGTCAATGGGGGATCATGCATTGAATTCATACATTTCCTGGCAATGCATGTAGAAAACTTTGAATCTATATAGTTTTCCTGTTTTTGCATAATTTGTAATGATGAACATCACAAATGACCTAATAAGATCATTTTATCATAACAAAGCTATCTCCAGTATATCAGGGTACCCTTTTGGCTACAGTGCCCTGTCGCTGACCCTGCCTCTGTAGTCATGCTTACCAGGCTGAATAGCTCTCTCTGTCTCTGTCTCTCTGTCTTCTAGGTGTTTCTCTCAGTAGGTGTAAACTTCACTGTGGAGCTAACAGACGTGAGCCTTCTGGGACCTCTCCTCAGCTCCCCACCCCGCCTCCTACTGGAGGCCAAGGTCGCCATGGTGACCGTCCCAGAGGAAGCAGCCAGCGCTGAGGTATCAGTCAATAACTTTATGGAGTAGGGTGAAGTTGCACCTAGACGCTGATCTTGGGTCAGTTTTGCATTTGACTCACTAATGTTTAAGGATAGGATTTGGGGATCTCAGATCAGGGGAAACTTCACCCCGGAGCTAACTTTATTGTCCCAATGGGGAAGCAAGGTATGTACTGTATGCCTTAGTTCGACCCCTGTTTAAACCTAGCTCCTGTCTCACGTTACATTGACCCAAGATGAGGAGGATGCTCTGTATCTAACTGAATTACTGGTCTGTGGTTGGTAGCCCCTCCCTGTGAACACCCAACCTCTTTCTGTCAGGACTTATGACAGACTCATGTAACATGCACTTCTTCTCAGTCAATTGACCAGCTTGGTGGTGACCATGAAATAGGCTTAGTCTATTGACCTAGCTTGCTACCACTACTACCTCTTCTACTACCAGACAGTATTATCCAAGCATTACAGCGGTACACAGGGCTGCGGACAATCTTAATGCCAACTTTGTTTCAAAGTTTCATCACGTCATTGTAGAGAGTCACCGTTACAATGGAAAAGGTCTCAACCATTCGTCTAGTTTTTTTCAGTCTGATTGACCCATCTTTAGTCAGCTGTTCTATAACACATCATTGTAAAACTGGCTAGTTTTGCTTTGTTTTCGTCTCAATATGACGTCTATTAGATCTGTACCGGGCTTTAATGTAGCAGTTATGAAATGTCACATCATCCCCTATTCCTTCTCCTCTGTATGGCGTGTGTGTGTGTGTGTGTGTGTAGGTGGGCTTTGTCTCGTTGGCGCTGCAGGTCTCCAGTGTGGAAACAGGTGTTTGTGAAGCACTGGTGTCCAGGACGGGGCTGTTTGGGGGGGTAAGGGTGGAGTGGAGCGCAGGGTACCCCCCTGGACAGGCTCCAGTTGGGTTCAAGCCTGGAGTTATCACCCCCAGCTCAGGTAAGGACCTCAGAGGGAAACTCACCACTGTGAGCTTGAGAAGTGGTTTGGTGAAATGTTTATCTGTCTATCTGAAATGTAGAAGTCTCCGTATTTGTTCATTTATTCTCTCTCTAAACACAGGAGGGAATGTGAACAGGCTGATAAGTGTTCATTTTCTCTCTGTATACCCACCAGACATATTCCACCTCCTCCAGTCTCATTTACCTCTCTTTTTTCCAAACACCACCACCAACAAACGCCCTACAAAATGACCAAACCGATAGTATTGATGTTGGGTGTCTGAGGGTGTTGTCTGAGGATGTATGTCCTCCTCCTCAGGCTCGGTGACCCTGGCCCATGGAGAGAGGAGCAAGGCTATGTCTCTCCAGGCGCTCCATGATGTGTCTGAGCCAGCATCCTACGCCCTCCACCTCACTGCAGCCGGCTCCAGCTCACCTGCTCCTGGAGTAGCCAGACTCAGGTACAGTAACTAGCCTCACCTGCCAGGCTTATAACGCTCCTATATACTGTAGACACAAGGCTTGGAACGAGACAGCCTTCTGACTGAAGATTGCATTCTGTATGTAATAGTACTGCTATAATAATATAACAGCTATGGTGTGATGCTAATCTCTGTTTCCCTCTCCAGGTCAGGGTTCACGGTGGCAGAGGTCGAGCCTCTGGGGGTGTACCAGTTCGCCCCAGACTCCCGCCAGCTGGTCATCGAGGAGGACGTGCAGACCATCACCCTCTATGTCCAGCGGCTCTACGGTTTCCGTAGCAACCGTACCCGCCTGTCCTATGAGACGGCGTCGGGCAGTGCTCTGGCGGGACAGGACTTCACTGCTGTGCAGGACGGAGAGCTGTTCTTCGACTTGCCTCACCAGACCTCCGCATCGCTCCGTCTGTCTGTACTGGACGACGTGCTCTCGGAGCCCGATGAGATCTTTTATGTCAACCTGACAGACGTCCAGGTACTGAGCCGTGGTGGTGACTCCCGGCCCCGTCTCACCCCCCAACACAGCGTTGCCACTGTCACCATCCTGGCCAGTGATGTCACCGGGGGGGTGCTGAGCATCGGGCCGGGGCTGGTTCAGACAGCAGAGGACAGGGAGGAGGGGAGCCAGCAGGACAGGAAGGTGCTCCTCAAGGTGCACAGGTCTGACAGCCTGGCTGGGCCAGTGAGGGTCAGGGTCCAGGCTTATGGGGGCGGGAGTGTCAGAGGTGCCCCTCTCCCCTTTGCTCTGGAACCCAACAGGACCCTGGCCCTGGAGGGGCAGGACTTCAGGCTGGAGTCCGCCCTGGTGTCACTGCAGGAGGGGCAAAGTGAGGCTGAGGTTAGCCTACTCATCCTGGACGACTCTGAGCCCGAGGGACAGGAAGTGTTCTTCATCTACCTCAGTGACCCGGAGGGAGGGGCACAGATCACAGATGGACCCGACAAGCAGGGATTCAGCTCCTTTGCCAAAATTATCATCCTAGGTAAAACACTGAAACACCCATATCTGCCTCAGGCTCCCCTGTCACATACTCCTTAGTCTATCCACTGGTCAGTCAATTCAAGGTAATGTCATGCTCTACTTTGTCTAATACAATTTAATCTCTATAGGTCATTGTTTCAAATACAATCCCTAAATTTGGTCCCTGGGCACAGACATCTGACATCATTCCAGTGATGTGAAATCTGTTCCACTGTTCAGTAGAATATAATTGATGATAATCAAAGGGACGGTGACAAGAGAATTGGAAGCTTGATGCACTGCATTTGTTGAATGCTATCCTCAATGTACACTACCGGTCAAAAGTTTTAGAACACCTACTCATTCAAGGGTTTTTCTTTATTTTGACTATTTTCTACATTGTAGAATAATAGTGAAGACATCAAAACTATGAAATAACACATATGTAATCATGTAGTAACCAAAAAAGTGTTAAACAAATCAAAATATATTTTACATTTGAGATTCTTCAAATAGCCACCCTTTGCCTTGATGACAGCTTTACACACTCTTGGCATTCTCTCAACCAGCTTCACCTGGAATGCTTTTCCAACAGTCTTGAAGTAGTTCCCACATATGCTGAGCACTTGTTGGCTGCTTTTCCTTCACTCTGCGGTCCAACTAATCCCAAACCATCTCAATTTGGTTGAGGTCGGGGGATTGTGGAGGCCAGGTCATCTGATGCAGCACTCCATCAATGTCCTTCTTGGTAAAATAGCCCTTACACAGCCTGGAGGTGTGTTGGGTCATTGTCCTGTTCAAAAACAAATGATAGTCCCACTAAGTGCAAACCAGATGGGATGGCGTATCGCTGCAGAATGCTGTGGTAGCCATGCTGGTTAAGTGTGCCTTGAATTCTAAATAAATCACAGACAGTGTCACCAGCAAAGCACCCCCACACCATAACACCTCCTCCTCCATGCTTTAAGGTGGGAAATACACATACGGAGATCATCCATTCACCCACACCGCGTCTCACAAAGACATGGCTGCTGGAACCAAAAATCTCCAATTTGGACTCCAGTCCAAAGGACACATTTCCACTGGTCTAATGTTCATTGCTCGTGTTTCTTGGCCCAAGCAAGTCTAGTAGTGTTTTCTTCACAGCAATTCGACTATGAAGGCCTGATTCACACAGTCTCCTCTGAATAGTTGATGTTGAGATGTGTCTGTTACTTGAACTCTGTGAAGCATTTATTTGGGCTGCAATTTCTGAGGCTGGTAATTCTAATGAACTTATCCTCTGCAGCAGAGGTAACTTTGGGTCTTCCATTCCTGTGGCAGTCCTCATGAGAGCCAGTTTCATCATAGCGCTTGATGGTTTTTGTGACTTCACTTGAAGAAACGTTCAAAGTTCTTGAAATGTTCCGTATTGACTGACCTTCATGTCTTAAAGTAATGATGGACTGTCATTTCTGTTTGCTTATTTGAGCTGTTCTTGCCACAATATGGACTTGGTCTTTTACCAAATATGGCTATCTTATGTATACCCAATGTACCTTGTCACAACACAACTGATTGGCTCAAACGCATTAAGAAGGAAAGAAATTCCACAAATTAACTTTTAAAAAGGCACACCTGTTAATTAAAATGCATTCCAGGTGACTACATCATGAAGCTGGTTGAGAGAATGCCAAGAGTGTGCAAAGCTGTCATCAAGGCAAAGGGTGGCTATTTGAAGAATATCAAATATCAAATATATTTTGATTTTTTTAACAATTTTTCTGGTTACTACATGATTCCATATGTGTTATTTCATAGTTTTGATGTCTTCACTATCATTCTACAATGTAGAAAATAGTAAAAAAATAAAGAAAAACCCTTGAATGAGTAGGTGTTCTAAAACCTTTGACCAGTAGTATACATACAGTGAACAGTATAAGGAAATAGTAATATAACTCTCTTTCTCTCTCCTTCCATCCCCCCTCCCCCTCTCCCTCTCTCTCAGGGAGTGATTTCCATAATGGGATAGTGGGTTTCAGTGTGAGTTCTCTGCTGGGTCAGGTTCTGGATGAGGACTCAGAAATGAACAGAACGGCCCTACTCTACCTACAGAGACAACAGAACCGGTATGTTTCTCCGTTTTTATCCTCCATAACATTAATCTGCCCATATGACTGTCAGCAAACCAAAGAGTAGCAACAGTAACAGTAGTGGTAAAATCATGATCATAAGTAGTGATACAAGCAAAATACAATGATCACCTCCAGCCACTTGGGGCACTGTGTGTTTGATGTGAGACCCATCTGCCTCCGAAAAATTAAGTGTGGGACACACATAAAAAAAAATAAAAAAAAATCCGAAATTCATATTCTTTTGGTGGGGGATGTTTTTATTGCTTTTCTGCCTCCCCCGTGCAGGGCCTTTGAGGATGTTGAGGTGATGTGGCGGGCCACGTTCAACAGGGCAGAGCTGTCCCTGGTCAACAACGGAGTCAACCTGACCCGGGAGCTGCTGCAGACCTCCGGCACCGTGCTGTGCAGGAGAGGACAGGTCCTCTGTGTCCTCAGCATGGAGGTCCGACAAGACCAGGTGAGTCCCAGGTCATACTAGAGGTTAGAGGTCAGGGGGGACCAGAACAGATGAGTCTCACAATACTCTAAAACTCTCTAAAACTGACAGCAACTCCTCTCCATTTGGACCACTGACTTGAAGGAGCAAGCAGGATATCCTTATAAAGTAGCTCAGCCTATACATCCCTTGTATTTCACACTGTAGCTTTCTGCTGTGGTGTCAGAGGATGTACAGTATGTTAATATGGAGGGTTGAAGAGAGAGTGGGCTGATAGTGGCATCGACATCAATGTAAGCTCACAGGAGGAGGGCAGGAAGCACCTGTGGTGTGATCACACCCTCGGTCCTCTCCTCTCTTCTCATCTCATCTCCTCCTTCCTCTCCTTTCCCTGGTGGTCCTACCAGGCAGCTCACCCAGCCTCTGCCCACGTCCTGTCCTGCTGTGTGTCTGGGCTATTTTAGGGCAGACCTCCACACGCCTCTTCCTATCGAGCGCTGGCTGTCTGCTGTGCTTCCTAATCCCGTACCCCCTCTTACCCTCCCCCCAAAATGCTGGTATATGACACAGACTTCAGATCTGGGAATGAGAGAAATTAGTCCCTGACTCACTGTTGGAGGCTGCAGGACTGGTCCACCAGTATGTGTCATGGGGTTCAATTCTCTAATTCATTTTTATAAATATTGCTTGTACTGTACTGTAATCTTATGGCTGGGGGAGCACATAATCATAATAATTCTAATAATTAACATAATAATGTTAATGTTCCTTCTTTCTATTTTTCATCCTTTTCCCCTCTTATGTATTTCAATCAGATAGCCTTTCCTAAACTCCCTATGTCTGTGTGTTGCCATAGGAACCTGAGTACCAGGCCTGGTTCCTGGTAGAGATCTACCAGGTGGGTGTTGGCGCCGCTATCAATGAGAGTGCCCGCTTTGCCAATGTCACCCTGCTGGAGAGCGATGACCCGCGGGGGCTGGTCTACTTTGCGGTGGGGTCCAGACTGCCCGTAGCACTCCTCAAAACCACCCGCCTCAGTCTGCAGGTGTACAGAGAAGCCAGCACAGCCTCCACCATCACCGTACGCTACCGCATGCTGGTGAGAAACATACACGTATACACAGCGTATACACACATACTACCAACCACTCACACACATGCACACGCAGAAGAAACATTTTCACAGTGCACACACGAACACACACACACACACACACACACATGGAAAACTCACACAAATATTTTTTGGTAATAATACTTTTCACATTTCCATACATTCACATAAAATAATACTTTTTATATTGCCATATATTTACATGAAAGAATACTTTTCACATTGCCGTATACTCCCACACTACCACACATCCTCTCACATTGTCTCCCTTTGTAACCTCTCACATCCTTCTGGATGAAAATTGCATTTTAAAAGTAGGCCAAGTCCCATCTTATAGTTGTTGTTTGTCTAACTCACCAAATCAGATTTCCATTCCTCACCCTGACCTAATTAAGCTGACCTAATTTAGTGATCTTCAAGGTCTAACGGTGTGTTTGTCATGGATAGTAAAGTCAAAGAGACACCAACACCCAACAGGGATGGGAGAATGTTCCATGTCTTCTTTCTGGGCCCCAGCCCCAGCCCCAGCCCCCCAGCCCCCACAGACCATGTTAATACCCTGATCAATGTTAGGTGTTGACAGGCTGTTCTGGCTCAGGTCAATGCAGGTGGAGGTGAACTGGTCACGTTCCAGAAAATGGATGAGGACCTAGCGACGACCCGCTCCCCTCAAATGGTTTCTATCGATGCCTATGGAGTTCAAAGAGGGCACTGTGTCCTCCTGTACCCCCCCCCCCACCCCCCCACCCACTCTCTTTCAACCTTTATTTTTCTCCATTTATCCCCCCCCCCTCTTCTTTCCCTTGGTCTCCTCTTCCCTCTCCTCCCCTCCTGCCTCTCTCCTAGGGGTGGTGATGAGCTCTGTGTGTTTGATCCACTACCTAGCTGGGGGCCGATATTCACTTGTATTCCCAGTCTTTGATATTGTAGATCAAAAGGGAGATTGTGGAGTGCACTTACAGTGCCTTGCAAAATTATTCATCCCCATTGGTGTTTTTCCTATTTTGTTGCATTACAACATGTAATTTAAATTTATTTTTATTTGGATTACATGTAATGGACATACACAAAATAGTCCAAATTGGTGAAGTGAAATGAAAAAATTAACTTGTTTAAAAAAATTCTAAAAAATTAATAACGGAAAAATGGTGCGTGCATATGTATTCACCCCCTTTGCTATGAAGCCCCTAAATAAGATCTGGTGCAACCAATTACCTTCAGAAGTCACATAATTAGTTAAATAAAGTCCACCTGTGTGCAATCCAAGTGTCACATGATCTGTCACATGATCTCAGTATATATACAGTGGGGAAAAAAAGTATTTAGTCAGCCACCAATTGTGCAAGTTCTCCCACTTAAAAAGATGAGAGAGGCCTGTAATTTTCATCATAGGTACACGTCAACTATGACAGACAAAATGAGAAAAAGAAATCCAGAAAATCACATTGTATGATTTTTTATGAATGTATTTGCAAATTATGGTGGAAAATAAGTATTTGGTCAATAACAAAAGTTTCTCAATACTTTGTTATATACCTTTTGTTGGCAATGACACAGGTCAAACGTTTTCTGTAAGTCTTCACAAGGTTTTCACACACTGTTGCTGGTATTTTGGCCCATTCCTCCATGGAGATCTCCTCTAGAGCAGTGATGTTTTGGGGCTGTCGCTGGGCAACACGGACTTTCAACTCCCTCCAAAGATTTTCTATGGGGTTGAGATCTGGAGACTGGCTAGGCCACATCCAAATGTACTCTAGCAAACTTCAGACGGGCCTGGACATGTACTGGCTTAAGCAGGGGGACACGTCTGGCACTGCAGGATTTGAGTCCCTGGCGGCATAGTGTGTTACTGATGGTAGGCTTTGTTACTTTGGTCCCAGCTCTCTGCAGGTCATTCACTAGGTCCCCCCGTGTGGTTCTGGGATTTTTGCTCACCGTTCTTGTGATCATTTTGACCCCACGTTGTGAGATCTTGCGTGGAGCCCCAGATTGAGGGAGATTATCAGTGGTCTTGTATGTCTTCCATTTCCTAATAATTGCTCCCACAGTTGATTTCTTCAAACCAAGCTGCTTACCTATTGCAGATTCAGTCTTCCCAGCCTGGTGCAGGTCTACAATTTTGTTTCTGGTGTCCTTTGACAGCTCTTTGGTCTTGGCCATAGTGGAGTTTGGAGTGTGACTGTTTGAGGTTGTGGACAGGTGTCTTTTATACTGATAACAAGTTCAAACAGGTGCCATTAATACAGGTAACGAGTGGAGGACAGAGGAGCCTCTTCAAGAAGAAGTTACAGGTCTGTGAGAGCCAGAAATCTTGCTTGTTTGTAGGTGACCAAATACTTATTTTCCACCACCATTTGCAAATAAATTCATTAAAAATCCTACAATGTGATTTTCTGGATTTTCTTTCCTCATTTTGTCTGTCATAGTTGACGTGTACCTATGATGAAAATTACAGGCCTCTCTCATCTTTTTAAGTGGGAGAACTTGCACAATTGGTGGCTGACTAAATAATTTTTTCCCCCACTGTACACCTGTTCAGAAAGGCCCCAGAGTCTGCAACACCACTAAGCAAGGGGCACCACCAAGCAAGCGGCACCATGAAGACCAAGGTGCTCTCCAAACAGGTCAGGGACAAAGTTGTGGAGAAGTACACCATTAAATCCATTAATAGAATAGAATATGGCACCACAACAAACCTGCCAAGAGAGGGCCGCCCACCAAAACTCACGGACCAGGCAAGGAGGGCATTAATCAGAGAGGCAAACCTGAAGGAGCTGCAAAGCTCCACAGCGGAGATTGGAGTATCTGTCCATAGGATCACTTTAAGCCGTACACTCCACAGAGCTGGGCTTTACGGAAGAGTGGCCAGAAAAAGGCCATTGCTTAATGAAAAAAATAAGCAAACACGTTTGGTGTTCGCCAAAAGGCATGTGGGAGACTCAAGGAAAACGCTATGTCTGGTGCAAACCCAACACCTCTCATCACCCCGAGAACACCATCCCCACAGTGAAGCATGGTGGTGGCAGCATCATGCTGTGAGGATGTTTTTCATCGGCAGGGACTGGGAAACTGGTCATAATTTAAGGAATGATGCTAAATACAGGGAAATCTGTTTCAGTCTTCCAGAGATTTGAGACTGGGATGGAGGTTCACCTTCCAGTAGGACAATGACCCTAAGCAACACTAGAGTGGTTAAAGGGGAAACATTTAAATGTTTTGGAATGGCCTAGTTGAAGCCCAGACCTCAATCCAATTGAGAATCTGTGATATGACTTAAAGATTGCTGTACAGCAGCAGAACCCATCCAACTTACATTTTAGACATTTAGCAGACGCTCTTATCCAGAGTGACTTACAGTTAGTGAGTGCATACATTATTTTTTTATACTGTCCCCCCGTGGGAATCGAACCGAATCGAATGCTCTACCAACTGAGCTACATCCCTGCCGGCCATTCCCTCCCCTACCCTGGACCAATTGTGCACCGCCCCATGGGTCTCCCAGTCACAGCTGGCTATGACAGAGCCTGGATTCGAACCAGGATCTCTAATGGCACAGCTAGCACTGCAATGCAGTGCCTTAGACCACTGCGCCACTCGGGAGGTTGAAGGAGCTGGAGCAGTTTTGCCTTGAAGAATGGGCAAAAATCCCAGTGGCTAGATGTGCCAAGTTTATAGAGACATACCCCAAGAGACTTGCAGCTGTAATTGCTGCAAAAGGTGGCTCTGCAAAGTATTGACTTTGGGCGGGAGGGGGTGAATAGTTATGCACGCTCAAGTTCTGTTTTTTTGTCTTATTTCTTGTTTGTTTCACAATAAAATATATTTTGTTGTGTAAATCAAATTATACAAACCCCCCAAAAATCAATTTTGATTCCAGGTTGTAAGGCAACAAAATAGGAAAAATGCCAAGGGGAGTGAATACTTTCGCAAGCCACTGTACTAGCACTCTACCTCCCTGTTACATATGACAAGGTTATCTAATTTCATCTTTCAGACAGAAATGATGTTCTGAAAACATCAGTTGGATACATATTTAGGTCACAGAGTCCATCCAAATTCATCTGTTCATCAATCCATCCCTTTTTCTTCTTCTATTTCTCCACAGGTCTTCAAATTCCTCTTCTCCTCTTATATTTGTATATGCATGAAGCTCTGTTGCAACACCTACTGTATATCCCCATCCATCCATCCATCCATCCATCTCTTTCTCGCTCTCTTTCTCTCTCACTATTTTCCTCCTTTCCCACTTCCCTCAATCTCTCCATCCTACTATGACCTCACACTCCTTTCTCGTTGTCGACCAATAGGAACTCCCACGGGCTGAGGCAGTAGGCCCTACCCTGGTCTGGCCCGCCGTGGCCGGTATGGACTTCCTAAAAGAAGAGGGCCAGCTGACCTTTGACCAGGGCCAGAGGAGCACAGGACTGGACATCACCCTCACCCCAGACCAGGCCTCGTCCAACCCCCCGCCCAAGCGCTTCCGCGTGGAGCTGTATGCGGCCAGCGGAGGGGCCAGGGTGCACCCTGAGTATGGGCTGGCCAACGTGACCCTGGTATCGGACACGGAGGCCCAGCTGGTGTGGGCCCTGTTGGACCAGCTCCAGCAGCCTCTGGACAGCACCACACTGGATAGGGTGCTACAGGCCCTGCTCAACAAGGCCACAGCCCAGCTCACACCAGAACAACTGACCGCCGTGCTGGTCGCACTGGGGAAGGTGAGAGAGAAGGAGGGAGAGCGAGGGAGAGGGAAAAAACAAAGGCTAGACAGAGAACAGAGGGAGACTTTTTTCAAACTTGCTTTGTTCGTTATTAAAAGTGATCTGTTTGTGTGGGTTTTTGTTTTTGTGTGTGCCTAGTGTGTGTTGCATTTGAGTTTGTCTGCTTTTGCCAAAGGGCAACCTTTTCCCGTACAAAATAATGACAGATCTGAAGAAGACTTTCCTTTTGAAAAGGTCTCTGTTGTCACTGACTGTCTGACTCTAGCACCGCCTTTCTGTTACACTGACATTTCATCTGAACCAATCAGCCTCTAGCCAAGTCAAGCCTGCTCTGTAATGTGAGAGAGCAGAGTGGGGGCTGAGGGCACGGGGAATAACTGTCACCCCCACACTAGAAATGAACCAAATCACTCTTAGAAAAAAAGGTTCCGAAAGGGTTCTTCAGTTGTCCCTATAGGACAACCCTTTTTGGTTCTAGGTAGAACCCTTTTTACTTCGAGGTAGAACCCTTTTGGGTTCCATGTAGAACCCTGTGTGGAAAGGGTTCTACATAGAACCCAAAAGGGTTCTACCTGGAACCAAAAAGGGTTCTTCAAAGGGTTATCGTATGGGGACAGCCGAAGAACCCTTTAGGTTATAGATAGCACCTTTTTTTCCAAGAGTGCATGATTCTGAGAGGAAGATAGGAGGGGTGGTTCAAAGAGACATGACACAGAAGAGCTTTAACACATAGACTCAAGCAGTGAGAGGCAAATGCAGAAAAAGCAAACCTAAATTGTCAGTGAATATGTTTGCATTGTACTGTATGTATGGTTGCAGGGCATCACCGAATGCCACTTGTCACTCATAACCCACAGGTACTGTAGATGTGTGTGTGTGTGTGTGTGTAGATTTAATAGAGGGCTCTTAGGTTACTGGCTATATGTATCTTAGTCATAAACACCTCCAATTCTGCATACATACACACAAATACACACAAACACAAAGACTGACACTCTCTCTCTCTCTCTCTCTCGCTCTCTCTCTCTCTCTCTCTCTCTCTCTCTCTCTCTCTCTCTCTCTCTCTCTCTCTCTCTCTCTCTCTCTCTCTCTCTCTCTCTCTCTACTCGCCCAGGTGCTTAAGGAGGCAGAGCGGACCCCTCTTGCTGACAGCAGCCGGGGTTTGACCTATGACCTCCTGTGTGCCATGGCCAACCCCAGCCGTGTCGACACGCAGGGCCTGAGCCAGCTAGCAGAAGTGGCTGAGCGCTTCGCCTTCTCCCTCCTCACAAACACCCAGTGTGGAGCACAGGGTCAAAGGTCAGTCCTGCCCATGGGGGATTGTGGGTAACTCAAGCGGAGCATCGCTGTCTATTATTTCTGCCAATTTCAACACTATTGTCTATGGTCGACTATGGTCTTGTGTAGTAGATATTTTATTTTAGGGGCAAAATATATAATGTATCACCCTTTCCCACTGTTAAAAATACTATATGAGTAGAATAAGAGTGTGATTTGTTGGTATTTTCAAAGGGGGAGGACCATACTGGACACTTGCGCCTACATATCCATCTCTGCCTACCACTGGTACCCTACCCAGATCAACGGGCACATGTTCATGGGCAAGAACTCAGACACATTCCAGTTGCCAGAGACCCTTCTTGAGGTGCCAGCCCTGCCCGCGGGCACCCTCTCCCCCTCAGCCTGCCGCCGTGTGCAGCTCACAGAGTACAGCACGGAGCACTGGTTCCTCACCAGCGACAAAACCACAGCCCTCAACGGCAAGGCAAGCAGACCCACACACACTCAAACACTGTTATCCAGAGCAACTTACAGTGGCAATTAGGGTTAAGTGCTTTGCTCAAGGGCACATCGACAAACTTTTCACCTAGTGGGCTCTAGGATTCGAACCAGTGACCTTTTGGCTTAACCGCTAGGCTACCTGCCGCCCACCACAATTTTTACTCATTCAGTCCATTTATCTGGACAAATAAAGGCAAATAAATAATTAGTTACAGGAGAATAATATGGTATTACAGGTGAGGATGTTTATGTCTAAATGTAACTTTTGTGCTGGTCATAAACAGCAGGGGGCAATGTTGTCCACTGAGGCTCTGTCCTTGGTTTCTGCCAGTAGGTCTTTACAGCTATAACCAAATAGAAGTTGCCCATAGTGGCCATAGACACATATCTAGGATCAGTTTACCTTCCCCCAATCCTTAGTATTGAACAATTATGGGAAAATCACAAAACTGACCTTAAATCAGCATTTAGGGGTACACTGTACTGTAATGGTGTTTCTCTTGTTGTGTAGGTTTTCTCTGCCAGCCTGCAGGGCCGAGGGTCACGGCCCCTGAATAAGAGTGACGAGGTGGTGTACCGTATTCACACCCCTGGGTCAAGGGTCAAACCTGGCCAGTCCCTGTGCCTTCTGTGGAACCAGGCTGCTGAGAGGTACTGTACTCTGTACCCACCTGATGCCCTCAACCCCCTCTCCCATACCCAGTCACTTTCCTCCACACAGTACTATGTAGCTCTGTAGTGTGTTAATATTTGTTATACTGTAAATGCATATTATATATACCTCACATGCGACCCGTAATAAGATTATGCAATTAGGCTATTAACATTTTTATCTGACTCCATTTAACATTATAGTAAAACCATGTGCAATCAAGTATTATGCGTTTGGCTGACTAAGATCAAGAAATGGTCATGAGAAGCGAATACAGAACACAAGTATTATTTAATAACTTTGTAAAATGAATGGATTCACATACAAGGCATAAAGCTTACATTACAAGGCAATACTGACATTAACATAGCATTCACAATCTAGGCATACAGACGAACCATGAACTAATCAGACCTAGCTTACAGTACCTTACAAGAGAATAATTTGATAAGAGAGAGAAATACAGTGGGGGAAAAAAGTATTTAGTCAGCCAACAATTGTGCAAGTTCTCCCACTTAAAAAGATGAGAGAGGCCTGTAATTTTCATCATAGGTACACGTCAACTATGACAGACAAATTGAGAAAAAAGATCCAGAAAATCACATTGTAGGATTTTTTATGAACTTATTTGCAAATTATGGTGGAAAATAAGTATTTGGTCAATAACAAAAGTTTCTCAATACTTTGTTATATACCCCTTGTTGGCAATGACACAGGTCAAACGTTTTCTGTAAGTCTTCACAAGGTTTTCACACACTGTTGCTGGTATTTTGGTCCATTCCTCCATGCAGATCTCCTCTAGAGCAGTGATGTTTTTGGGCTGTCGCTGGGCAACACGGACTTTCAACTCCCTCCAAAGATTTTCTATGGGGTTGAGATCTGGAGACTGGCTAGGCCACTCCAGGACCTTGAAATGCTTCTTACGAAGCCACTCCTTCGTTGCCCGGGAGGTGTGTTTGGGATCATTGTCATGCTAAAAGACCCAGCCACGTTTCATCTTCAATGCCCTTGCTGATGGAAGGAGGTTTTCACTCAAAATCTCACGATACATGGCCCCATTCATTCTTTCCTTTACACGGATCAGTCGTCCTGGTCCCTTTGCAGAAAAACAGCCCCAAAGCATGAAGTTTCCACCCCCATGCTTCACAGTAGGTATGGTGTTCTTTGGATGCAACTCAGCATTCTTTGTCCTCCAAACACGATGAGTTGAGTTTTTACCAAAAAGTAATATTTTGGTTTCATCTGACCATATGACATTCTCCCAATCCTCTTCTGGATCATCCAAATGCACTCTAGCAAACTTCAGACGGGCCTGGACATGTACTGGCTTAAGCAGGGGGACACGTCTGGCAATGCAGGATTTGAGTCCCTGGCGGAGTAGTGTGTTACTGATGGTAGGCTTTGTTACTTTGGTCCCAGCTCTCTGCAGGTCATTCACTAGGTCCCCCCGTGTGGTTCTGGGATTTTTGCTCACCGTTCTTGTGATCATTTTGACCCCACGGGGTGAGATCTTGCGTGGAGCCCCAGATCGAGGGAGATTATCAGTGGTCTTGTATGTCTTCCATTTCCTAATAATTGCTCCCACAGTTGATTTCTTCAAACCAAGCTGCTTACCTATTGCAGATTCAGTCTTCCCAGCCTGGTGCAGGTCTACAATTTTGTTTCTGGTGTCCTTTGACAGCTCTTGGGTCTTGACCATAGTGGAGTTTGGAGTGTGACTGTTTGAGGTTGTGGACAGGTGTCTTTTATACTGATAACAAGTTCAAACAGGTGCCATTAATACAGGTAACGAGTGGAGGACAGAGGAGCCTCTTAAAGAAGAAGTTACAGGTCTGTGAGAGCCAGAAATCTTGCTTGTTTGTAGGTGACCAAATACTTTTTTTCCACCATAATTTGCAAATAAATTCATTAAAAATCCTACAATGTGATTTTCTGGATTTCTTTTTCTCAATTTGTCTGTCATAGTTGACGTGTACCTATGATGAAAATTACAGGCCTCTCTCATCTTTTTAAGTGGGAGAACTTGCACAATTGGTGGCTGACTAAATACTTTTATTCCCCACTGTACATAATAAGACACAGAACAAAGGCATTTCATTCCATTTATAACATTTGAAGGTGTCTTTTTAAGAAAACCAAAACCAACCACCATTCACCAATCAAACAATACCCAGTGATAGTAACCTGATCACCCAGGACCAATCTCCACAGGATGTCCCTTCATCAAAAGGCTTGTGTGGGGGGTGAGATAAGCATCCAATGCAAATAAGTCCTAAGAGGACAAAAGAGATCCTTGCATACAGCGTCGTCAGAGTTCTCCTCAGGGGACACGTTTCAGATACATACCAAACATGAATGCAATAGCCTCACTAACAACACACATTTCAATAGTCAGTCCTCTGGATACTGTAGAGAGAGAGAGAGAGAGAGAGAGAGAGATTTGGCACCTCAAAGGGTGGAAGGGCGTACTGGTTCTTAAACCATTGTCCTTTATGTCTTCCTTGTGTTCCTGGGCCATTTGCCATGCAGACCCAGAGGTGACAGAGAGCACATACAGCTCTACCACAACAAACAGAGCCTTCATTTTCACATATTATTCGTTTTTTATGAATCCCCCAAAATTGATTTTTCTCTTAGTTTCTGTTGCTATCCTAAACTTGAACCCATATAATGATGTGGTGTGTGACTGAAATGACTATTTTGGACACAACCGCTTTGCTCTGTAGCTGTGAACCTCACACATAAGGGTCAGCCTCTAGGAGAGAGGTCAGGGGTCAGGCCCTGTCCAGCCAGGACCTCTTTCCGGCCATGGATGAATTGGCCTCCCTCCCTCCCTCCCTCTCTGGGCTGTCCCAGCCTCATCTGTGATGTCTGCAAGAGTTCAGTTTGTTCTGCTCAGAGTTCCCGAACATTCCCGCCCCTCAGAAGTGTGTTTGAAAATACATTCCAGAGAAGGCCCGGCGTGGGACTCTTGGCTGAACAACCTGTAACAGGACGCAGATTTCTCCGGTTTGGTTTGGTCCATGGAGCAGCTGTCTCAAAGATCCTTCTCCCAGATAACCAACCAGACGACAGCGTTGACAACGTCAACCTGAGGGAAGAGAGAGAGAGTGAGAGAGGGGCCTGTTCAAGTTCACCCTTGCCTCGCTGCACTAATGACAGGTCTAATAAAGCCCATCATAGACTTCACAGTCATTTAATGACTAGGACTGTCACAGTCATTCTTAGATTAATTTCTGTGAGTTGTCAAGTAATCTCAGAATCCCCTTTGCCTGTCAGTCAGAAAGTAAATTAACTCAGCTTCATTTTCAACTGGAACACATTTGAATTCTGTCCTCCTTTCTTGTCGTACTTGTCACCCTTTGAAATGTTCTGAATCCGTTAACATATCTGAGAGTTAGCACATCGGAGCACTTAAAGAAGCAGAGACACTAGACAGCTGGATGTTCCAATCAGAACGTCATAACTTCATATGAACTTCTACTACTAACTGTATTATGCCTGTCCTCTCCCTCTCCTCTAGCTGGCTGTCAGATGGGCAGTTCTGCAGGATAGTGGAGGACAGTGGGAACTATGTGGAGTGTGCCTGCTCCCACCTGTCTGTGTACACGGCCCACGCCGAGATAGCCGCTCTGGCCTCCTACAACGAGGCATTCTACACCTCAGGCTTCATCTGCATCTCAGGTACCGTATGGATGAAGAGTCTCTTTAGGTATACATCTAGTTTAGTTATTTCAGTCCCCCCTTTTCTTTATATCTCTCTTCCTTTCTCCATTCTCTCTATCTAAATCTTCCATATATCTCTCTCCCCCATTTCCTATATATCTCTCTCTTGCCTTTCATATCTCCATTCTCTCTCTCTCGCTCTCTCTCTCTCGGCCTCTTCCTGTCCTCCATTCCCTCCCACCCTGTTTCATATGTCTTATCTTATATTGTAAGTATTTTGAATCCATTTTAAAACATGATATGGGTTTTTATGGTCAATATGGAATGATACAGAATATGGTCTGATCCTCAGGTTTCGCCTTGGCCATCGTATCCCACCTGCTGTGTTCCCGCTTCCCCATGTTTGCTGCCAAATTGCTCACCCACATGATGATGGGCTGTCTTGGGACCCAGGTACGAGGACCCCCCCCCATATTGTCCCCTCTCTGAATCTCCACAAAACACAGACATGTCTTTCCCGATCCACAATGATGTTCCCATGCATACATTCTAGCATAGGGCTTTTGACTGTCGCAAACATAACTATTTTTTTCTACTCTGTCTGGGTCTATGTGAGCTGATTAGCACGTTTTGACAGTGTGGGTAGATTTAGACAGATGAGGAACCTTTGAAAACAGTTACAGAAGCCTTCATCTCTATGCAGATCAATTTGCCTTGCTCTATAGGTCAGCAGCCCCCTCTACTCAAACACACACACACACAAACACACGCTTGCAGGCATGCACGCACACACACACCCACACGCACACACATCAACAGGCGCTGCAGAATTGTGCACAGGGCTGGACAGACTCCAACAAATGTGGCTGCCACAACCTTGTGGGCTAAGCCGTTAGCCCTGACAACAAAACAATCCTCCTGCACCCTTTCCCATAAAAACCATGGCTGCCTTTAACTGTTAGAGCGGTGAAAGAGAAATGTGGCCGGTGGGGGGCTACCACGGAGGAGTGTCTCAGCTCCTTCTGACCTGTGAGTGGGAATTTTCCACTGGTCCCCAGTGGCTGATAGACAAACACAGAGCCCCTACTAAACCTGTCTCTCCATGGGGCTAAACACCCCAGGCACACTGCTTTTATTGCCAAGTGGAGCCCATGAACCTGAAAGGTTTGGGATGGAAAATTCCGTTCGGTCTTTTTCAGATACTGTACTGTACGTTGAGACCCGGGTAGGTAGGTATGTATGTGTAGGGGATGAGTGTGTCGTGTTGGGCTGTTCGGTCTTTATGGTGAAGTCCTGGTTGAAGGCTTGGTAGGTTGTGTGCCCGTCATAGCTGAAGGTCTGCTTGATTGTGTCCGTGGTCTGGGCGTCTTTCTTTTGGGGGGGTAACTGTACACACATTCTGTTCAATTCATTGTACTTGCAAACCCAAATGAACAAAGTCAAAATGTTAATGTCTCAAGCAACCAAAGAAGGCTAAGTCCTGGTAAATTGCAGAGCAGCATTGTTTATCCTAAGGTGTGAAAACTGAAAAAAGACAGGTCAATGAGATATCCATCTTCCTATAACCAGCAGTCCCCTGAGTTTGACCTGGAGTTTCTTTGACACTGTGTGGTGACACAGTTGAAGGGTTCATCAAGGTTGCCATGTGGAATGCCTTGGAATAGCACACTCAGCACCACAGTTCTGTTTAGCCAGCTTTATGGAACAACATTTTATTTTATTTGAAATGGGATTGAAACTCCTAAATCAGGTCAAGCGGTTGATCCACTGTGTACATTACTGTCACATACACATACATACTCACATACAGTGGGGGAAAAAAAGTATTTAGTCAGCCACCAATTGTGCAAGTTCTCCCACTTAAAAAGATGAGAGAGGCCTGTAATTTTCATCATAGGTACACGTCAACTATGACAGACAAATTGAGAAATTTTTTCTCCAGAAAATCACATTGTAGGATTTTTAATGAATTTATTTGCAAATTATGGTGGAAAATAAGTATTTGGTCACCTACAAACAAGCAAGATTTCTGGCTCTCACAGACCTGTAACTTCTTCTTTAAGAGGCTCCTCTGTCCTCCACTCGTTACCTGTATTAATGGCACCTGTTTGAACTTGTTATCAGTATAAAAGACACCTGTCCACAACCTCAAACAGTCACACTCCAAACTCCACTATGGCCAAGACCAAAGAGCTGTCAAAGGACACCAGAAACAAAATTGTAGACATGCACCAGGCTGGGAAGACTGAATCTGCAATAGGTAAGCAGCTTGGTTTGAAGAAATCAACTGTGGGAGCAATTATTAGGAAATGGAAGACATACAAGACCACTGATAATCTCCCTCGATCTGGGGCTCCACGCAAGATCTCACCCTGTGGGGTCAAAATGATCACAAGAACTGTGAGCAAAAATCCCAGAACCACACGGGGGGACCTAGTGAATGACCTGCTGAGAGCTGGGACCAAAGTAACAAAGCCTACCATCAGTAACACACTATGCCGCCAGGGACTCAAATCCTGCAGTGCCAGACGTGTCCCCCTGCTTAAGCCAGTACATGTCCAGGCCCGTCTGAAGTTTGCTAGAGTGCATTTGGATGATCCAGAAGAGGATTGGGAAAATGTCATATGGTCAGATTAAACCAAAATATAACTTTTTGGTAAAAACTCAACTCGTCGTGTTTGGAGGACAAAGAATGCTGAGTTGCATCCAAAGAACACCATACCTACTGTGAAGCATGGGGGTGGAAACATCATGCTTTGGGGCTGTTTTTCTGCAAAGGGACCAGGACGACTGATCCGTGTAAAGGAAAGAATGAATGGGGCCATGTATCGTGAGATTTTGAGTGAAAACCTCCTTCCATCAGCAAGGGCATTGAAGATGAAACGTGGCTGGGTCTTTCAGCATGACAATGATCCCAAACACACCGCCCGGGCAACGAAGGAGTGGCTTCGTAAGAAGCATTTCAAGGTCCTGGAGTGGCCTAGCCAGTCTCCAGATCTCAACCCCATAGAAAATCTTTGGAGGGAGTTGAAAGTCTGTGTTGCCCAGCGACAGCCCCAAAACATCACTGCTCTAGAGGAGATCTGCATGGAGGAATGGGCCAAAATACCAGCAACAGTGTGTGAAAACCTTGTGAAGACTTACAGAAAACGTTTGACCTGTGTCATTGCCAACAAAGGGTATATAACAAAGTATTGAGAAACTTTTGTTATTGACCAAATACTTATTTTCCACCATCATTTGCTAATAAATTCATTAGAAATCCTACAATGTGATTTTCTGGAGAAAAAAAATCTCATTTTGTCTGTCATAGTTGACGTGTACCTATGATGAAAATTACAGGCCTCTCTCATCTTTTTAAGTGGGAGAACTTGCACAATTGGTGGCTGACTAAATACTTTTTTCCCCCACTGTACATACGTACACTATATATACAAAAGTATGTGGACACCCCTTCAAATTAGTGGATTCGGTTATTTTAGCTACACCCGTTGCTGACAAGTGTATAAAATTGTGCCAGGAGAATCAATCAATCAATCAATTTTATTTTATATAGCCCTTCTTACATCAGCTAATATCTCGAAGTGCTGTACAGAAACCCAGCCTAAAACCCCAAACAGCTAGTAATGCAGGTGTAGAAGCACGGTGGCTAGGAAAAACTGGCGGATTTGGCGGAGAAGGAATAATGGCCTGGGGCTGTTTTTCATGGTTCAGGCTAGGCCCCTTAGTTCCAGTGAAGGGAAATCTTAACGCTACAGCATACAATGACATTCTAGATGATTCTGTGCTTCCAACTTTGTGGCAACAGTTCAGGGAAGGCTCTTTCCTGTTTCAGCATGACAATGCCCCCATGCACAAAGCGAGGTCCATACAGAAGTGGTTTGTCGAGATCGGTGTGGAAGAACTTGACTGGCTTGCACAGAGCCCTGACCTCAACCCCATCGAACTCCTTTGGGATGAATTGGAACGCCGACTGCAAACCAGGCCTAATCGCTCAACATCAGTGCCTGACCTCACTGTGGCTGAATGGAAGCAAGTCCCCGCAGCAATGTTCCAACATCTAGTGGAAAGCCTTCCCAGAAGAGTGGAGGCTGTTATAGCAGCAAAGGGGGGACCAACTCAATATTAATGCCAATGATTTTGGAATGAGATGTTCGATGAGCAGGTGTCCACATACTTTCGGTCATGTAGTGTACATGCGTACGTACGTATGTACCTACATATATATACATACATACTGTACATATCCTATGCGGCTGGCAGATGGCTAGGCTCAGGGGCCAGGGTTGAGGGTTCATCCTCTTTACAGGGTCTCTGAGGTGCCAGCTGATGCTCCAGACTGTGGTGTCAGATAGAGGATTATCTCCCTCTGTGTAATTACTCACTGACACCACCCTCTGAGGCAGGGAAATTAAAAGTGCCTCCATGATTGATTCTCACTCCTCCAGCAGCGGCAAGCACATTCCTCCACCTTTTTAATTCTCCCTCCCCCTTACCCTCTCTCTTTCAATATCTCACCCCCCTTTCTCATTTTCTCACCCTCTCCCCTCTTTCATTGTCACCCCCCCTCTAAGATGTGTGCAGTCTGTTCTGGAGGCTGATTCTGCCTGACTTTCATTTGGAGGTGTGAGACTGGGAGTAGGTCTAGATAAGGCCTCTCCTGTTGAGGCACAAGTACCTTTTGACGTAAAGTCTCTCACTCTCTTTCTCTCTCTCTTCCTCTTTCTCTCTCTGTCTGCTTTGTGGTCATTCTTTGGGGTGTTTTGCATTTGGGTCATGATGACTACATAGGAGATGACATCTAACTGTGTTATATCAGTCAAACGGACGAGAGGGTTTTGCTGGAGGAGGTCAATCCTCTTTTGTGGGGGATTTTTGAGCCCACGGCCTCCAATTCAGTGAGGACAATTTTTGAATCAGAAATCTAATTTCCGACACAATGGTATCGGGGATGAGGAGAGAACAAGGTTGACTCTGACGATGACACTATTCTCATCAGTAACCATCAGCTTTCTCATGCTGCCGCTATCAGTCCTATATCTGCACAGCAGTCATTTTTACACGTTAACAGCCGAGCTCTGGGAATTATGTAAAGATCAAATCAAATCACAATTTAAAGTCACAACTCACTTTACAGAAAGAAAAAAAACAAGAAAAGCTAGAACAGCATTAATTGTGTTCTGTAGTATAGCGCCAAGAAAAACGCTTGCATTGTAAAAAATTGAATGTAGCCATGAAGCATTAATGCCCTTAACCAACTGATTGAATATTCAGTATGCACGGATTAACAGTATATTGTCCCAGGCTGCGCACCGTAGCAGAGGAGGCATATTAAGTAATATGGTGGGGTTGCATTGACCCGTGTGTTCCTAGTGACCATGTATCTGGTCTGGTCACTCTTTCACTCTGGTCGGCTCAGGCAGGGGGTCAACCGGGGTGCACCAACCACCAACCAACCGACCTGCGGGCGTGGGGAGACTGTTCATAGG